GTGAAGCAGCTGGACCCTTATATTGAGGACAAAGGGAAAGTCTGAACTGGTTAAGGACAGAGCAATATCTGAAACCCACTCCTAAAATTCTTAGAATCTTTCAAATTAAAGGGCAGGTTTAAACTGCATCACAGCGTTTTCCATATCTACCACCTAGTAAACGAAAACTTTTTAAAAGTAAAGTTATAACCAGGTGTGGTGCCACATGCCTGTAACCCCCAGCACTTGGGAGGCTGAGGCAGAAAGATCACCATTATTTCAAGGCCAGCCTGTACTGCAAAGCAAGTTTAAGGCCAGCCTGAACTGCACAGTGAAACCCTGTCTCAAAATGACCAAAATAAATTAATAAATAAATAGAAGTATATAGCTGGACGTGGTAGCGCATGCATGCCTGTAACCCCTGCTCTGGGGGAGGCTGAGGTAGAAAGATTGCAAATTCAAGTCCCACCTGGCAAAATCTCGTTTCAAAATTAAAAAATAAAAAGGGATATGGGTGTCACTCGGTGGCAAGGCACTGAGTTTGATCCCCAGTGTGTTTGTGTGTATGTGCGTACACATATATTTACATTTATATTTATATTGATACTAAATGCCTGAAACATTTTTATTACTTTTTTGTTTTAAAGAGAATAAAACCAAGCAAATAAAACAGAACAAAGCCAATCAAAACAAACCAGTATAAGTGACACAGGACTTCAAAACAATATGAAATCAGCAATAGCTACCATAATGCCTCTTGTCTTCAAAACAGCTGCCTATACATTCAAACAAAACCAAACAAAACAGAGCAGGCTACAACCAGTAAAAACAAAATAATGAATGCAATAAAGGACTTCAAAACAAGACAGTCGTAAATCCAAAATGACTACCATTAATATATCTTGCTATCTCTGAAATGGCTGCCTATGCCATTGGATATAACAAAACAAAACAGAATAAAACTCAACCCGACAAAACAATGACAATGATACAGGACTTTACAACAAGATAATAAGGAATTAACAATGGCTGCCACCTTCAGAAAGAGATCACCCCTAGATGTCACACTGCATAACATCCTCTGAACCGATGATCAGACTACCAGCCCTAGACCTGCAAAGTCAGTGAAATACCAAATTCCACAAGTATGGAATTGCATTTCATGAATAGCCATGGTGTCCCAGCCTGTGTTTCTGTTCCAGCTGGTTGCTTATGGGGGCGGGGGCTCTTCTTTCCTGGCCTGCCCATGGTGCTGGTTCTCAGGGAGGGCTTGCTTCTTGTTGACTTCTTGTTCTCTTCTTCCAAGGTCCACCACCTGGAATATTTTTTGTTTTGTTTTGTTTTTGGCTTTTTGAGACAGGGTCTCACTTTGTAGCCCACACTACACTATAAATTCAGACAGACTTGCTTTCTTTCTTAATGTCTAACCAAGACACAATGGAATGAGGGAATGTGTCGGGGCCAGTTCTTTCTGGGGAAGTAGAGTTTCAGAATTAGAACTGAGAGCTGGACCCAACGGCCAATCTTCTACCATGATTGGTTAGACCAAAGGAGAGACAGCAATAGAGGGAATAGACCGAGAAATAAAAGAAGCATAAAGAAAATAGGATACTATAGAAACAATAGCAAGGAGATAGTACAGGATGAGTGGATCGGCCTGCTGTGTCAGCTGCTGCTCAGTGACTGAATAAGTGAAATTCAGTGAGACTCTGCTGAATTTGCCACACAGAGGTTTGCAACTTGAGAAGTGGTTTCAGTGGCATGGTGAGGATGAAAGCAAGAATGAATTTGGGTGAAGATTCAATAGATAAAAAACAACTAGTTGTGGGGCTGGGGATTTAGCTCAGTGGCATAAGCACCTGCCTTGCAAGCAGGCAGTCGTGAGTTCAATCCCTGGTACCGATAAAAAGGAAAAAGACAAACAAAACAAAAACAAACAAACAAACAAAAAAAAACAACTAGTTGCTTTGGAGAAGTGTAGTTCTTCTAAATACTGAGATTAGAGATGGTTTCTCCCAAGATCTCTCGTACACAAAATATAAGTTCACACCCAGTATCCTCAACTCTTTCCCTACAATAAATGCAAGTTTAATAGAAATGCATTTCAGTATTGAATGTCAGAGGTGTTACAAAGGATTTTCTTTATTGGGAGAAACACTGGGCTAGAGTTTCATATTAGTCACTGAAACACAATACCTGACACCCATGATTTAAAGGAGAGGTTTGATTTGACTTACAAGTTTGGGGCATTCAGTTGACAGCTGGCTCCCAGGCACAAGCATCACGGGGGGAAGGCAATTAAGATGCTTAGTTGTGGTAACTAGGAAGCAGTGCCAGAGAGGAAGGGCTGAGGGCCAGATATAAACCCCAATGCCTTCACGACCCACTCAGATACACTCAGTGCTGCACTGAAGATTCCCGTGGATCCCAAAGCCAATCAAGTCAATACTCCACCCTCACCACCACAATAGAATCATAAAGGATCACTGAAACAAACTACGGTCCTTGCTGATTGTAGGAGTCTGTTAATACTAAGCTATCCCTTTCCTGGAAAAGATCTACACATGCCTTAAAAGTCACCTTGTGGTAGCCATAATCTAAATTTATAAACTAAGTTACGTATTTGTCATCTCCAGTAACTAAAGGGAACATGGGAATGCCCATTGATTTTGAATAAATAACTGCTAAGCGAGAAAACCCATGAAAATTCTAAAACACTAAATTTATACATTTCAGGAAAGTTTGCAAAGAAAATCAAGGCCAACTGGGAAAAATGATTTTCAGAGGCTCTAGACAAGGGCATGAGGGCACCTCAAACAGTGTTTCCAGGTTCAGCTGCATCATTTTAATGCAGTCAAGCTCTGATCAGTAATTCTGCTTTTTAGAGAGCCTGACTTCTCTGGCTTTCTTATTGTGGAGCAAATTTTGCAGAAGAAAGATTACTATGTGTCCCTGGAATAATATTCTACTTTCTACTAATTTAATTAAACAGTTAACAGAGAAAAATAATCACATTGATCATTTAATATAATACTATGTTAAGAGTTAGCAATCATCAACTATGCTCAAACAATAAGAGTGCAGGCCGTGAGGCCAGGCCAGTGGAAGTGGCGATCTCTGCAGCTCTGTAGCCACAGGCCGTGAGCATCATAGATCTTCAGTGCCTTCCTCTGTAAGGTGAGGCAAGTAACAGACTATTTCTCACAGCACTACCATGAAGAGTACACATGACTTTAAGTAATTAGGACTTTACTCAGAATCTTAAGACAACATAATAGCTTGAGAATTCTTCTTCCAAAAATGGTGACCATCGAGAGCAAGAGGCATTTAATGGCCCACATTCCTAATCCAATCCAGAAACTGCTAGATTAGGGGCTCCCACGACTTTGTCACACTTGGCACTGTGACAGCCTCCCTTCCCCACAGGAAGGCACATTTGAGGGGAAGGGTTCGCGTGGGAAGCTCAGTGTGCCAGTGGTTACTTGCTCCGAAGACGCAATTGAACACTTGGGAGGAGTGTGTAAACCAATGTCTTTAGCCTAGTCAGATATCATATTATCTGTGAGTTATCAAAATTTAACTAACCAGATCCTGGAGAGCTTCATTCCTGAAGAAGAATGAAGTGAGGTGATGGCCTCAGAGATATCCAGAGCAGACACTCTTCCAGGGAGCACTTGCCACCTACTGTTGGGAGTACTGACAGCCTCCAGGAATCCATCACCTTTAGAAGTTTTCTTAGCTCAAGAAGCCACCTTCCCAGAATGACCTGCACGCAAGGACTGATCATGGAGGGACCCAATGGAGAACTCTGCCTGGCCATCTTCCTCCATAAGCTCTGGGGCAGGTGGGGGGAATCTGAGGCTATTCCACTTATACAGCAGCTTGGATTCCTCCTTCCCACAGAATTCCATCTCAGCGCACCACCTAATAAAGACACTGCACTAAATCCTGGCTCAGCATCTGCTCTTGAAGAACGTACTTTGTGACAGAAAAGATTCTGACCCTGAGGAACTCCAAGTGCACTGATTAAAGCACCCAATAAATTTCAATACTGCTGTCCTAACCCATTTTTAACATCAGGTAAAGGAGCCACAGAGCAATGTGCAATGACATGTTGTCTACTATTAGAAGTAGTATCCTTGGTGTTAAATATGACAAGTGGTGGCTCCAGAAGGCAGAGAAGAGGAAAGGCAGAGAAAGGAAGAGAGGAACTAGACATCACCAGGTAATCACTTGAGCCCCTCTTTGCCTGATTTCTCCCTGTTTGTTTCTGTATCTCTGGCTCTTTATTAGTCTTTGGACCACTCAAAGCATGAACATTACTAGGGCGGTATCTTGGTTACTTTTCTCTCCTTGCTGGGACAAAATACCTCACACCCAAAATGAAGAAAGGAAAGTTTTATTTAGCTCACTGTTTGTGGAGGCTTCAATCCACAATCAGCGGACTCCAAGGCAGGGTGACATGGCTCTGGGGCAACACTTCAAGGCAGCAGCCAGCACAAAAAGGGGGGAAAAATGCCTCTTCTCCTTCCTTACATTGTATACCAGCCACCCCGTTCCCCTCCAGAGAGGGTGCAGCACTCACAAAGTCTCTGTGCCCTCCACTTCCACAGGATGAGGATATTTACAAAGTAAGAATCTTGGCTGCCTGCTGAGTTTCAGATAAAATTTCTAACCTCAAACTGGCACAATGTATCAACCCTAAGAGGAGGTTACTATCCCTAGGCTATCAACCTTTAGCCTCCCCTGCTGCAGCAGGTATGCAAGTCACAGAAACTAAAGCTGGGCGAGATCCCAGGCAAACAGACAGACACCAGCATCTTTAGAAGTAAGATCAGGCCTTTTCATATGCAAAGGCAGAAGCAGCGATCAAATCACACTAACAAAGCAAATCAAATAAAAACAGAACCCTGAGATTGTATTCTAGTGGTAAAGCCCAGATTTAGGAGGAATCCAAAGAAATGATGACTCAAGCCCTGGGAAGCCACATGCAAAGGTCAGAATCTCTGGCTCCACAGCAGTCTGCTCACAGGGCTTCCTGCACCTAACTGCTCAGCAAGGCAGGTTCAGGCAGCACTGGCTCAGCCCATGTGAGATGCTTCCTCCCAATCACAGACCACTGGCCCCTGGACGCGAGGCTCAGGGAGTAGCTGCAGGGTAGAAAAGCACCTTGGGCTGTTGAGGGTTGCAGAGAGGACTGGTGCTGCACCAGAAGGAAGAGGAGGAAGCTGAGACCGCTCTGTGAGTAGACTGATTTTGTGCACACGGAGGCTGGCCAGACACGTTAAGGTTGGCTTGCTTTCCCGGGAGCAAAGCTAGCGGGCTGAGAGGCAAAGGGAAAGATGTTAACAGAATCTCTTACTTTTTATAATCTGGGGTGTTGCAATTGCTCTGTTCACTTTTACTCTGACCCATACAAATTGTTTTCTTAAAATATTTGATGTCATTGTCCTGTCCTCACAACTGAGATTAAACTTCTGGGACTGTTTATCAGATCTCCTGATGCTAACCTTAAAATTGTCTCCCCAGAAAGACCAGGAAACACCTAAGAACCCTGGGGAAGCCCCTATATCTTTCATTAAATAGCAGATGGACAGACACCCTGATAGAGCCCTGGCTTCCTAGGTGTAGAGTCAGAAAAGCAACAGAAAATGTAAGAAAATGGTCATGTTCTTTCTTAATCACGTGTCCTTTAGCCTGGGAGACAGAAAGCTTCCAGATCTTGTCAGAAATCATTTAGTCTTGTCAAGTTATAATGGGATTGATTTATAGAGCAGTTCATTGATGGTTCTTCTCCACAGGGCTCTGCATAATAAATTTGCCAGTGGAAATAAGATAACAAATTAGCTTGATTTACACAATGTTTTTTCTTGCATGATTTATTTTTACTCTTCACCAATTAGTTGATTCATAGGATCCACAGGTCCTAAACCTATTTTTGTTTGAACATTTTTACACAAAATATGAAGTTTCTAATCATGCTAGAGTTATTTATATTTTTATTTATGTTTGTAAGCCTAAAACCTTACTGCTAGCTGGCTTTAAAGATTTGTAAGGTATTTAAGAGTTTGTGTTAATTCTAATGTCTTTTACAAACTGCTTATGATGTTTACTGACCACCGCTTGCCTGAGTAGAGGTAAAAAGCACAACAAGAAAGAAATTACTTAGTTTTTAAATATATATTTCAGTTATCTGTAACTAATTCTGTAATCTTCAAACCTTGTGAGAAAATGCTTTTTTCTCTTGATTAACCTCCAGTGAGGAGATAATTTTCCATCTTACTTTTTGTTTACAATAGACTGTTTTGCTTTCTGCTGTGATAGCGTAGTATCAATTCCTCTTTTTATTTTAAACTATCTAGGAAAACTCACAAACTTAAATACAGAGCGGAACTTAGATACTGTTTAGTCACAAAAAAAATAGAATGTCAGAATTTCTTTTCTGTCTGTTCTGCTCACATGCTTTGCGTGTTTGTATTTTTTATTAGTACCTGTTTGTAGGGCATAATGATCACATTCTTTACAGGGGACTCGGTCCATATATACAGCACATCTCAATTTTTTCATCCCCTCTGTTTCCCTTGTTCCCCTCCTCTCTGTCTCTTGATTCCCTTCCCATTTTGAAAACCACCTATCGCCCTGTTTCCTATTATCTCTATTTTGCCTCTTATTTTTACTTTTTGGGCTTCTTATACAAGAAAAACCATGCAATATTTAAGCTGTGTGTCTGATTTATTTCACTTAACATTATGGTCTCAAGGTGCATCTGTTTCCATACGAACGATTCACGTTTCTCTTTCTTGATGGCGGAGAAGCACAACAAATTCCAAAGAGCTCTAGACAGCTGTACCCTGCTCTGGAATCTGGGTCTGATGACCACACTGGCTACTTATAAACTTGCTGGGCATCACTGCTTTTCTGATCTAACCTGCCCCACAGAGTCCCCATCATATTCCTGCGCAGGGCTGTGCACCCGCACCTGGGCCATCGCATATTTAGTCTATGATTTTAAGATGGTAGGTGCCTGGGATTATCACAGAGAGTGCCAGGAGCCTGGGGCAGCACTGTGTTGTAGAATGCCCCGGACACTGGAAATGTTCTAGATAACAGCCTTCACTATTGCATGTGGCTGGGGGTGCCTGAAATGTGGCTAGAACAACTCAAGAATTGGAGTTTGGCCTTTACTGAATTGAATTAATTAGACTTTAAATAATTCATGTAGCTACTAGTTACTGTCTTGGTCCATGCAGGGTAACAAATAAATAAAATTGATGTGGCCCGTGACCTGTGAGTGTCACAGGGGCTCATCTCACCCTAAACTCAAACTGACGTCAGTTGTCTGATCTAAAATCTCCGCACCTTTCTTTATACCCTAAATCATGCGACTGTCTGCCCTTATCTTCAGCTTGAGGCTCAGAGCTAAAGAAACAGCATAATATGTTTCTCATCTCTCCCATTTATCGTTTTGCTGTTGTTCATTAGATTTCTTTAGCATGAGTGGAGTTTGAGGTGTGGGTATGGCCTCTAAGTGCAAAAAGATAAACAAAACTTGGGTAAGGACGAGAAGTAATGAATTTGAAGAGGTGATCTCATGCTTGGTGGGGGAGTCATGCTGCTTTTTCTTCTGCTTTGAGAAGTGGTTTGTTTAGTAAGCAGTTGTTTTGAGACCTAATCAATGTGTCTGGAAACATCAGCATTCTGGACATGAGTAATGTTTATAAGAAAACAAACTGAATGAACTCACAAGGAAAAAAAGAAGTAAATCTCTCTAGCCTTAAAAAAAATCTGCACTTGTCAAAGCAAAGAAACTCCCAAGATGTTGAGCAATCTAAGGGCATCATGATGTGCCAGCTCACTGGAAGATTTTTCCACAAGGTGGGGCTCACATGGAAAACATTTAAAATGAACTGCCCATTTCGATGTGCAGTAATATGACTCCTGAAGTGTACAGTCACAGCCAGGTTTCCCTTTTTAAGTTCTTCTCATTTGTCCCCTTTCCAGACTGCCAGGTAAAGATAACCCTGCATAACAATAGCAAAAAAATAGGCTGGGGATTTAGCTCAGCGGCATAAGCACCTGCCTTGCAAGCAGGTGGTTGTGAGTTTGATCCCTGGTACTGATAAGTTAAAAAAATATATATAGCCTTTAAAAAAATAGCAAAAAACAATTTCAGAAGCCCTTGCATTTGAAACAACCCCTAGTACTGTGAGCTAAAAGAAAAAAAAAAGGCTAGAAAGAGAATGAATCACATCAGGAAGAGTAGCTCTCTACCCACAGACGTGGACGGTAATTAGAGGAGGGAGCAGACTACAGAACCTTTCCTCTCCTCTCCTCCTCTCCTCCCCTCCTCTCCTCTCATCTTCTCCTCCCTCTCTTCTTCTCCGCCTCCCCTCCTTTCCTCTTTTCCCCTCTCCTCTCCTCTGTAGTCAGAGCTGATGTCCTCTGGTGCCATAGAGGGACACATGGTCAGGAATGACTCCAGGGTAAATGACACCTTAATTCCTCCCTAATGCTATACCTTCCTAGTAAGACAAAAACTACCACAATGTGCTCATTGATTCCTGGATATGACAATCTTAAAGTTTATCACTTTGCTTTGTAGATACACTTCTTTACCATATATTAATAAAATTTTAAAAATATGATTTTTTAGTGAAGGTGGCTTTTTAAATGTGTAACAGTCTGTTCCTTTGTTGGTTTAGAATGACTTTAAAGGAATTTGGGTAAAGAAGAAAGGTAATAAAGTACCGGGCTAGGTAACTGGGGCAGAAGATAACAGCAGCGGAGAGAAGCCACACAGCATATCCTCACATAGGACGGGGGTTTGCTCCCTGAAGAAACACTTACTTGAAATGGGCGTGGGGGGCGGATGCATAAGGAAGAAAAGTTAATTCTGGACAAGGGCAGCTGGGAAGGAAGAGAGTTTTTGGTTGGGCTTCAGAAGCCGGCAGAGCTCAGCAGACAGCAGGCGGAGAAGGGCTCCCAGGGAGGTCAGCCTGCACACCAAGGACCCCCCTCCTTCCCCAGACCCAGCCTGTACCTCCCAATACCCCTCAGGCCTTTGTATTTTCACCCCTCAAGTTGGCCAGTCTCACTTTCACTGACTAGAAGAATGAAATGCTTGGGTCTGACCTAATCCTGTAAAAACAAGGAAAGGGAGGCGTTGGTGTGTCTCCAAGGAATAAAAAGCCAAGCCGTGCAATTCTCATATCCAAATGGAAAGGTTATGACAGGGCGAGTGTGGCTGTGAAGAGACACAGCCCGTGGAGTGGGTGGGCAGGCGGTGTCATCTGGCACCAGGAAAGGAGGAGGAGCCAGGGCTGAGCTGCAGGTGAGAGGGGCTATTTAGAATTCTGCCCTGAACTTAGTCACAAGAGGCAGTGAAGGTCTTTAAGCAGAGGAGTAAAATAAAACCAGGACAGTAGATCTCAAGGCTGATTAAGTGGCTGACAATTCAGAGTCTCATTTGCTGAGTGTGAGAGCCCACAGGTTTGTAATCCTAGCATTCGGGAGGCTGAGGCAGGAGAAGCCCCCATGAGTTTGTGGCCATGCTGGGCCAGATAATGAATTCAAGGCCAGTCAGAGCACAGTGAAAACCTGTCTCAAAAAAAAAAGTCTTGTTTCTGGAACACCACAAAATATTAATATGCTAAACTTAAAACAGTGAAGTAGATCATTATATATTTATACTATAAACCAGATTCCAGGATACACAGAACTCAAATTTAAGAAAAAAGTACGAGATAAAGATGCTTAAAATCGCAAATTTGGATCAGGAGTTTCCCTTCAAATTAGGAAATGCCTGGAATTATTCAGTTTTGCCCTTGAAACACATTGCCTCCCATAGACTGAACTTCTGCGCTATGTAGGACCGTTTGAGAACCTGTACTTTTAAAAGCTCACTTGCAAAACCCTGTGAGGAAAAGGAACACAAATTATTGGATTTGTTTGAATCAGAAGTTAGTGCCTGGCTATGAGAAATAGAAGAAAGGAATAAAATAGTCTCAGGAGACATCAAAAAGTGGTCAGTTTTGCTTCTATGAAAAATATAAACCAGTCTAACTCAGGAGGGTGTATTAGGGTTACTATAGACATACACACATACAATGCATACTGCTCATATGTATGTATATATGGGCAGGGGATTGATTTATCTTAAGGAATTGGCTCATGTGGTTTTGGAGACTGGTGTGTCCAATCTGTGTAGCATGTCAGTAGCCTGAAAGCTCGTTGCAGTTTTTTTTTTTTTTAAATCAGTACCGGGGATTGAACTCACAACTGCCTGCTTGCAAGGCAGGTGCTTTTGCCGCTGAGCTAAATCCCCAGCCCTTGATGTTGCAGTCTTAAAACTGAGACTTGAAGAATGGAGAGAGGGGAAACAGACCAAAAAAAAATTAACATATGTTATGTGCATGCACAAATCTCCCAGGATGAATGTGGGCATTATGTACCATAAACAGCTACTAGTGAAAAAAGGCTGAAATATGCAGAAGCCTCAGACAAGGTTTCCATGTTGCAGTCCTGGAGCAGAACTGCTGCTGACTCAGGAAACACCGTGCTTGCTCCTAAGGCCTTCAGCTGACTGGAGGAGTCCCTCTCCACGGTGGAAGGAATCCTACTGATACAAGTGTTAACTATATCTAAAACAGTAACTTACCAGCAATGCAGAGACTGACAGTTCACCAATAAATAAGCACATACAAACTGGGCACCACGTCCCGGCCAAGCTTTGTGACCCAAGACGTGGAAAAAATGAAGTTCGTGAACTGAGGTGCCCTTGTACTTCCTCCTCAGGCGGCCACCGATAGGCCCTAGAGAACAATGGGGACATTCCATCCACCCAGAGAGAAGCACAGAGAGATCCTTTATAGAAATCAGGCTACCTTTCCTTGTCACAGCCCTCCAGCTTGTGGCTAAGGGAACCAAGTTCACGTGTCTCCTTGGCAGGATCATTTTCTAGGTGTTTTCTACTAAACCCAGATCCCTCTGACAAAGAGACTGTATCACATCAGCGGTCACCTTGTAACCAAGGCTTTCCAACTTCACTCTGAGTACCTGCTAACTCCCCAAGTAACTACCTTCCAAGTTTCACGACTTACCTATCTTTTCCCCACTGGTTCTAAAACACTAGTTTCCAACCATTCTGTGGCTCAATATCTACAAACCAGTGAGCTAAGGAGGAGGTGGCGCTCCATGACTCCAGACCCTAACTCTTGTTCCAGACAAAGAAGCACCATTTTGATATGCTTTTAATATCAAAGTTCCACATTGAAATCATATTTCTTTTTAAAAAATAAACCCCTGATTTACATGATTTCAACATTCCCTGATGTATTAACTCTTGTCAGTCTGCTTCAAAAACCTTAGCAAAAATAAAATGGGCATGGTGGTACACACCCATAACCCAAGCACTCACAGGGGCTAAGGGAGGGGGACTGCGTAACCCTGACCTGCGGTGGGAGGCTGAGGCAGGAGCCCGTGCTACATAGTGTGTTCAAGGCCAACCGGAACTCTACGGTAAGACCTTGTCTCAGAAAACCAAAAGCCAAGAAAAAGAGGAGGCAGAGGAGGAAAAAGAGTAGGAGAAGAGAAAGAAACTGAGGCAAGGATTTTAAAAATTAACATTAGAACTTTACATAGATTCAATTTTCATAATACCTCTTGAAGGTAGATATTACCATTCTCAGTTAGAGATGAGACTTAACAAGATCTAACAACTTGCTGTGGTCACGAAACTTAGGTCTGTCCAAGCCCATGTTCTTTCTGTTTTACCATACACTCTGGCCTGTTCTACAATACACTCTAGGCGATTCACTACACTGTGTGTTCATCCACCCATTTAATCATCCATTCATCTATCTATCCATCCATCCATCCACCCATTCAAATAAATGTTTGTTTATTTATTACTTAGCAAAACAACTGAGGGCTTACTACATGTCAGACACTTTGGACCTAGAAAAACATAATAGGCTCCCAGTGCTGTCTGTTTTGGAGCTCCTTGCAATAAAATGCAAGACCTTCGTAGACTGATACCAAGAAAAAAACAGTGCAAAAGAGGAACAGAACAGAGATCTCTGAGTCATTTCTACGTCAGAAGAAACAGCCCCAGCACAAAGGAAAGCGTCAGATATCATCTCTGCATCCCCTCAAAGTCTAGAGCTGAGACCAAAGCCAGAGAGATGAATCCCATGGCAGGAGCTCATTGCTGAAGAATGCAGGTTGGAATGCTGCAGAGGGCCCTCCTACAGGGCAGAGCTGCCCGGTACCTGTCTCTGGCCACACCTCAGCACAACTAGGAAGCGCTTTCTCTTTTCCCTGAGAAAAAGTTTTCCCCATTAATTCAACTACGGAAAATAAGAAGTACAAATGGGTCACTCTGTGAAAGGCCTTCTGGTCCCTGGACAGCACAGTCCCTGGGCAGGGGACAGAGAGAAAGTGGATGGGAGAAACAGCTTGGTCATAGACCTGTCACCATGAGGACCTCGATCCTATGCCCCACAGGTCTCTGGTGCATGGAACAGAACCAACATCGTGACCTTCCTAAATACCCCTTAGCTATTACTAGTAACTTCTTGTGTTTGTACACAATCTGACTGTTTGCCAACCACGTCTGTGTTCCGTATCTCAGTTGGTGATCACAACAATCCCATCAGACAGATTGCATTCTACCTACTTCATAAATGAGGAAGTAGACATCTCATTTTTTTAAATAAAATTTTTCATTAATGAATGTTTACAGTAGAGAATGCGTACATTCATCATGGGGAGTTGGGCATGCACACCGTAACACATCTTCCCTTCCCTTCCCCTCCCCTCCCCTCTAGATCTCTTTCCTCTTTGCAAAGCATCTATCTCCCTGATTCCTATTGTCCATTCTGTGTTTTGCTCTTTATTTATACTTTGGGCTTCTCATGTAAGAGAAATTAGTGATATGGAAGCTTGTGTGTTTGATTTATTTCACTTCACATTATGGTGCCACAGTGCATCTATTTTCTTACAAATGACTCATATTTATAGTAGCACAACTCCTCAGGCCCACAGTCACCCCAGAGAAACACAGTAAAGACAAGGCAAGACTAGGACTTGAGCACTGGCATGCTGATGCCATGTCCAGAACGCTCCCTGTTAGACCACAGCCACTATAACCCACACCGCAGGAAGCCTAGACTGGACTAGAGCTGCAGGAATCTGACATCTGTTGATATCTGTGGCTCTGGGGAGATTCACAAAAAATCAACCTAATCTCAAATACAAGTGGCCAAGAAGCAGCTGTGAAATTCTGGCCTTGCCATTAACTTCGTGTGGCATCTTTTACTTAAAAGAATCCCAGCCCTGGGAGCAAGAGGGAGAACTCCAGGTTTAGGATACTCTGAAACAGGTTTCCTAGAAGAGATGGCTGCAACTCCAGATTCGGGGAAATGTGCATACATTGGTGTGGTGTCAATGGGCCCAGGAGGCAGGAACCTGGAGAAATGGGTAAAGAAAGGCCATGTTTCTGACTTTGGTATGACAGAGTCTTCTAAGCAAAGAAAATATATTGATCCATTCTCTGTTCTCAGAGTTGGCAAGCACTAATCCTGTAAGCTTAACCTTAGGGTTTCAGTTTGCCTTGGCCAGGGTCTATATCCGGGACCTTTCTGCCCATCAGCCACATTTGCCATTGGTACCTCAGCTCTGTTCTTTATGCCCTTGTGGACCTTGCAGAGCTTTGGTCCACATCTTAGATATAAGCATCCGATATGCACCATGCCTCAAAGAACTGAGAGGCAGTGGTCACTCTGGAAGGCTTTCATTTCTTTTTCTTCTTTATAAAGTTACTGTGATTACTGAGCTCACTAGTCCAATTCCAATTTCCTTCATTACTAAAAGATTAAATGACTTTGATTTGGATGCTTTAGGACAAAAAAAGGTAATACACAGTGACATAGTTTAGTCATATTAGGGAAATTATAGCAGTATTTTTCCTATTAAAGTGTAGTCTCCTGAATTGTGCCTTCAGGCTCTGAGAAATCCTGAAGATGGCCAAAGATGATTCCACTGTTCGCTGCTTCCAAGGCCTGCTGATTTTTGGACATGTGATTGTTGGTGTAAGTAATAAGAATTTTTCAGAAAATTCTGCTTTTTCTGTTAGCATGATTCAGAATTAATCAAAAATGAGAGTTTCAAGGCAAGTATAATACAGCTTCTAGTTCCCGGTGTGTTTCCTTCACTTCAAGAGATGTGGAGTAAATATGTTCTCTATGATTTAACTATATAAATAATCATATATAACTGTGTAATATGTCAGAAGACCAGTTGAAAATATTAGAAATTTCCCTTCCAATTTTAAAACATAAGCATCTAAAAGGAGTCATGTCCATATGGTCAGTGCTCACACACGCCTGCTACACACACACACACACACACACACACACACACACACACACATTGTAGGGCTTCTTTATGATTTACCTTGGTTTGATTTGAGGCCTGTGTTATTCAGGTTGACAGGGCAGATGTCTACATCTTCTTGTTCTCACATTCAGAGGCCACACCCAGGGCGTGAGACTGGCTCAGAGGCCCAGCTGTAACGCACACAGAGAAGGAGAGAAAGCACTTATTTGAGAATAATGAGAGCCAGCCTTTGCCCAGTTCTGCCTAACTCTCTGCATGGCTCTGGATAAGTCACCACCCTTCAGGGCCAAGATTCCTCATTCAGGGGCACTGGGGAGATAATTTCCCCAAGCATCCAGCTCTCACTGATAAATGTGACCAGACCCACTCCAAATATTATAATCCAGAAATGAGAGTGAGAAAAAGTAGAGGTAGGATTGGGAGGGAGAGAGATCCTCACGCAAGAAGTCACCATCTGAGTAGGTCGTGCTCCCCAAAATTTATGGGTAGTCTGAAATTGCCTAGATCTTTTCCCAAATAGCAAGACAGACAGACATGTAAAAAGCCTCCAAAGAAGAAGGTGTGTGGAGGAAGTTTACAGAATGAAAATAACTGCCTCATTTCCTGGGAATGAGAAGCTTGTGGGCTGCCAGCAGCCTGTGCTGGGGAGGGAGACCATCTCTCTCAGCCCCTCATCACCAACCATCTCCTTTCCCAATGCTGTGCTCCCGGCCACCAGCCTGACACCACCTGTTCTTGACTTGCTCCAGATGTGTGGCATTGCCCTGACTGCTGAGTGCATCTTCTTTGTGTCCGACCAGCATAGTCTCTATCCCCTGCTTGAAGCCACCAACAATGATGACATCTTTGGGGCTGCCTGGATTGGCATGTTTGTGGGCATCTGCCTCTTCTGCCTATCTGTCCTAGCCATCGTTGGGATCATGAAATCCAGCAGGAAACTTCTCCTGGCGGTAAGGCTGTCTGCACTCTGTGGCTGTCTCTTCCCTGAGCCAGTTTTGATGTATTACTTCTTCCTCACTGAGCACAGTACTTTAGCTTTCGGGACAGTAGATGTAAGCAGAGAGACCCAGATGCAGGAAGAGGAAGGGCGAGACTCTCTTTAGTAAGATAGATTGTCATGTGGAGGCAGGGATGTCCTCCACTATTGCAAGTCCAGAAAATTCTCAAACAGTAAACCCAAAGGGGAGATGCCCAGAGAGGACTTTGTTGAGAATTTTCCAGATCTGTGCTTCTCCAGCTGATGTTACACAAGCTAAAGAAAAGACATAGGGAGAACTTATTTATTGGATTTTGTCCTTGCTAACAAGTAGTTTAAGGTATTAATTTAGTTAAGCATGGTGGTATATTATCTGTAACCATAGTACTCAGGAGGCTGAAGCAGGAGGAGGATGTCCATGAATTTGAAACCACTCTGGGCTCCATAGTGAGTTTAAGGCCAGCCAGGAATACACAGTAAAATAGAAAAGTATCATTTTACCATTAATCAGCATTAATATATTAGGATATAAAATATAAAGCAGGCATGAACTTTTCGAAGCAAGCACCAGGTCTTTGGAAGATGTCTGAGTTTGAGACTGGTGGTTTTTGTGCAGTGGTCTCCCCTTCTCACATGTCATTTACTCTGCCTTACAGGAACTAGACAGGCACCACTGGGAGTGCCCCTTCCCTTCACATATCGCCTGCCATGGGCTCTAACTCTGGTCCAGCCTCACAGACACAGGGAAGCAACTGGGGAGACAGCTCACTGAGAAACCTTTATATTGGGTCTGCCCCTCCACTTCCTGCCCTGTTCCCCAGTGCAGCATTTCTCACATTGCGATGGGACACACACACCACTCCTCTCTGCCCCTGAAATAACTCTCCTATCCAAACCCTGCAGGACCTGACAACCACTTTTACAGAACAAGTCCAGTAACTTAAAGGGTTTGTTGGTTTACTTTTCCCTTGATCTAACTATTGTCTTTGAACCTGGGGAATGCAGAACATTTGCATTGTCTGTTTGCTTATGTAATTAATTCTAGGGCAAATGTACCCACTTCAGGAGGGTGGGGAAGGCATGCAGGGAACAGAGATGAGAGGCAGATGTCCTTACAGACAGCCTTCCCTGCATCTCAACATTGCTTCAGGTCAGTCCTGGGTGTGCCTGACACAACCTGGAGAATCGAGCTGGTGGTGGGTAATGCCCTCTCCCAGCATCTGGAGGAGAAACACCTGCGCCCTGGGCCTCGATGGCTTCCGAAGCACCACGGAGTGTTTTGAAGCTCTGTAAGCAAAGCCTGCAAAGTTCTTGACAAGGAACAAGGCAACAGCCAATGCAGGAAAAACTTACTGCAAGCTTTGTGGAGATCTCCTGAGCCTACAGCCAGAGCGTTGTCCTGGCCAGGCAGTGACAATAGAGGAAAGTTCTGCCTGGAGAGTTTCACATGGCGAAAGAGGGGGACAGAATTTCCTGTTCTCCCTCACTGATTGTGGCCACAGAGTCCCTTCCCAAGGAGGACAGGAGGACAACAAGCATATCTCTTGCCAACAGTCACCACCCAGAATCAGAGGCCATTTACTAGTCAGATATTTTCCAGCTAGAAACAGGGGCAGGTGTGGGATGGAGACCTATGTGCACATGCAACATGTACGCCGCCCCTGCACACCACACACTTGTCTTGCCCACCAAAGCCCATGTCACTGGAGCAGGTGTGTGAGAAGAGGAGGCCATGAGTTGCTGCATGCCAGAGGCTGCAAGCTCCTCGCTGATGCGACTGAGTGCTAGTACAGGACACTGGGTGTCCACTGATGGCACCCACTGGTGTGTTATTTATTATATGGTGACACAAGGCCAGCTTGATCTTTTTCTGAATTCTGTGATTCTAAACATTCAGTAAATGGTAAAGAAAGTATCTCCCAATTAGGGGGGTTTATAAGGCTCTACATCTTTGACTCTAAAACTCTCTGGCATGCCACTAAACATGCACACATGTGTATACATGTACACACACACATGCTCATGCATCGGTTCAATCTCTTGTAGATTTCCACAGTTAAAATAGAAATTCAGGATACCAGATGAAAGATCTGTGTATTCCATGGCCATTCGTTCTCTTAAAGAAAAGCAGAGAACTAAGCTGACTAGGACCAAGCCTTACACCCAGCTCCTAGCACCAAGCTCCATTCTAAGAAGCTGATCAAAGGCGGTTTGCAGAATGATTACAGGACTGTCTGGATGGTTGTATTTACATAATTATATGGGGAAATCTTTCTTTGGAGGTAAATGTAACAATTTTTTTCTCATTTGTTTCTTTACAAGTATTTCATTCTGATGTTTATAGTATACGGCTTTGAAGTGGCATCTTGTATCACAGCAGCAACACACAGAGACTTTGTGAGTATGCTCCCAAAATGCACAAAGCAAAAATGATGATATAATAACTGATGTGTAGTAAGCCCACACTGTGTACCATACACGCTAATATGCACATTAATAATACATATATAATTGTAGTTAATACTCATAAGCTTAAGAAATAAGCAGTACCGCTTGTCATAAATGAAAAAAATGGGACAGAAATTTGAAGTAACTTGGCCAAACGTACACAGCTGGTAACTGTAAGAACAAGAGCTCTGAAGGCAGGCAGCCTAATCCCAGGGCCATGTCGGTGACCTCTACACTCATCATCACCCCGCGTGGCCCTGGCCCTCCAGGGGGATGGTCCACATTTTCCTTACCCAGTACCCACTGTCAGCTCAGTATCTCTTTTCTCCTTTCTCTACCTCCCCCACTACAACAGCGTCTGTATCACTGAAAGCTCTAAAAGACTTGCTATTACTGCCCTAGTCCCTGCCACCCCACAATATCTTTACTTTGAAGTGATATATTTGAAGATGGCCATCACTTTGGCCTTTTGGCCAAGCTGAAAAGCAGCCTCAGTCAACTGTATGGTACTTGGTGCCTACGAGTATCATTTTGCTCTGTGAAAATATTCAATGTTCTTAGCAATACAATGAGAAAAAAATATTTTCTTTTTCTGGGGTGTTAATGTGCTCACTCTCCCTCCTGTGTTCCCTGCCCCCCGTGTAGTTCACACCCAACCTCTTCCTGAAGCAGATGCTGGTGAGATATCAAAACAACAGCCCTCCAACCAATGACGATCAATGGAAAAACAATGGTGTCACCAGAACCTGGAACAGGCTCATGCTGCAGGTAAGGCCTTTGGTCCCAGGGAGAGACCAGGTCACATGAAACTGGCAACTGAGGGGTAGCTGGGAGTGAAGTCAATGCCTCCCAGAGGATTTCCTTCAGAAACTTGGTACAGGCAAGGTCATATATGCTTCTTATTCGCTAAAGGATACTGGGGGATGTTGTAGGCATGACTCAGAAGGACCCTTAAATCTTTATTTTATTTCAAGCAATGATGTTGTTTGGCTTACCTTTATAGCAATACTGGCATTGTCAAAAAACTGAGATTGGTCATACATTCAGCCTTTGAGAACTCAAGTCAAATTTATACTAAGTTAAAAATGGTTTATCTGCCCCCACAGTGAACTCAAATAGCAATCACTGCCTGTCTTATCTTTTTTGGATCTTTTCACATCTCTTACGAGCTAGTTCTGCTAAGGTTCAGCAGATACAATTTGATTTAATCACCCAACTTTTCCTAAGTGGCAACCATATCATATCCAAGCTTACCTTAAATGCCATCAGACATCTAGATCTTCCTGAACATTACCCCCTTGTAACCCTAGATATATAAATTGGTATCCTCTAGTAATCCCCAACTGCTCACTGGCCCCTCGGATGCCATGCCAATTTCTCAGTCTGTCATGAGCAAATCCCTCTTATAGCCTAGACTCTCTACTCTTTGCCTTTGCTAGGATATTGGCTGAGTTAGTGACACTGACTGTCTCACCTTGCTATTTTCTTGCCATGGCTCATGCACCATGGGATGAGGGAAGTAGCTAGGTGCCCTCTGGTTCCACATGGCAACCACACTACTGTATTTCCCCCATTCCTTTCTTCCTCTTTCAAACACCTGCACTTCATGCCAGCAATTTGTGTCACCCATTATCCCTTCTTATTATGATTTTTCCATCAATTACCCTCCCCCCCGTCAGTCTTCTATCTTCATTAGGAACTTCAATATCTTACTCACAGTCCACTCTGACATGCCCATCATTCCACCTAGGATGAGGCTTCAGCATCCACAGAAGTGACTTAGAAACACTTGGCCTCTCAATTCCTTGACATACTCCTTTCCAAATCGTCTCCTCTGCTCATAAACCAAGATTAAGGGCCCCAGTTCAACCACTGTTAGCTTCACATGCAAATACATCATCTTTAAAACCAAATAATCACCAAATAAAGATAACAGCAAGTTCATAATCTACCTAACATAACACAACTTTCCTACATACCACTGGAAATACAATAACCCCTTCCCCAAAGCCAGTAATTCCAGTATTTTTTTAAAAGTCCAAGTCTCTTCTAAATCTCAAAGCAAACTCTTAGCTATGAACCAATATGAAAATCAAAATCAGGTAACATAATACCAAGATACAATGGCACAGGGTAAAATTCCTACCCCAAAAAGGAAGAATGATAGACAGAAAATAAGCAGACTGAAATAAGAACTAAACTCAGCAGGGCAGTTCCAAGTGTCCAACATCCAGGGGACCCAATGTAAGATGATTTCTGGGGGGCCTGAGTATCCCTATCCTGATTGCCTTGCTGGTTACAGCCCATATTGTTCTCTCCAGGGATGGTTCTACTCTCACGCTGCAGCTTTCCTTGGTAGATGGTTCATGGCATCTCCAGTTTCCTGGGGATGCTGCAGCTCTGGTTTCGTTTCCACAGCTTCACACACTTCCCTCTCAAGGGCTCCTTTTCAGTCTCCCAAGTCTTTCCTTTGAAATCTGAATGGAATTTTCTGACTCCACAACTCTTGCATTTTATATGCCAGTCCATCGTCACAGGGATAATACTAAGGTCTGTTGTCAGAAGAAGCAGTAACCAGGCCCCTATGAAACATGGCTGTGGTGGCTTCTGAGTGTCTGGATGGCTGAACACAATGAAATTAATCACAGAGTATCAGTACCCTAGAAGATCATCCTCTAGCAGTAGTTCTAGGAATTGTCTTCTGCAGTGAAATGTTAATACTTTTGTACCCTTGAGTCTGAAATGGGTGGTCTTTACTGAATCCAGAGATACCTTTAAGGCATCTTTCCCCTTGTTCCTGTGCAAAGTAATTGGTTTCTTTTTAATGAAATGCTAATATCTTTCCATCCCAATTTTACACATGATTCTTTCTGGGCCAAAAATTATTTTTTCAAAATTGTCTGCTCTACTTTTAGCCCCCAATTTTCACTATAAATCTGGCTATAGCAGCCAGGATACCATACCACTCCATGAATACTGAGCTGTCTTGAAATTTCCACCAGATTAATTCACTGTTCTTAATCTCATACTCCTAGAATGTCTCAAAACATGGGCAAAACAGACAAATTTTCTGCCAGATTGTAACGTGCATGGCCTCTGGTCCAAATGCCAATGGAATATTTGTTCCCAGTTAAAATCTCCTGAGCCTGGCTTTTACTATCCACATTCGTACCAACATTTTGGTCTTCTGAGCTACAACTGGAAAGACTTTTTATGGCATTCCATCTATGGCTTTTCTTGCCCACATCCCCAAACCTATCCAAATTCCTCCCACAAACCAGTTTTGAAAGCTTCTAAACCACATAGCCGGGTATAATCACAACACTGACTTTACTGTCAGTATGAATTTTCTGTTTTAGTTTGCTTTTCCATCACTGAAACATGACACCTAACACCTGAAACCTACAGGAGGAAAAGTTTAATTTAGCTCATGGTTCCAGGAGATGCAGTATATGCTTTGCAGGCTTCCGGGCATAAATCATAACAGAAGGGCATGATGGGGCAAAGCTGCTTAGTTCAAGGCAGCCAAGGCAGAGCAGGAGACCAGAGCCAGAGAGGAAGGGGTGAGGGACAGGCGTACTTCCCAAAGCCACATCTCCAAAATCCATCTCACACAACCCGGAGTACACTTTACTAATCTACTAGGCACGTCTTAATCCAACGAAGTTAATCAATCAGGATTAACACACCATTACAGCTTCCACTTTTTCACTTTCTATCACCCTCTTCACTGCTCCTTCTTTCTCTCCTTTCCTCTTCCTTTACTCTCTCACCAGTCTCTGTGCATCAGTCTTTACTAACAACTTTTTTTTTTCTGTCTTTTTCCTTTTTATCGGTACCGGGGATCGAACTCATGACTGCCTGCTTGCAAGGCAGGCACTTATGCCGCTGAGCTAAATCCCCAACCCCTTTACTAACAACTTTTGATCCACTCCTCACACACATGCAACCTAATAGCTAAATGATACTGGGAAAAGTCACACAACCATGCTGATTTAAATTTAAATTTAAGACCATAAAGTTTAAATGCGTACTGTATATCTCTGAGGACATTTTTCCAGAAAACTCACTTGTCACTCTTTCGTGGATCTGCCCCTCTTTCACATCTTCAAAAGCCCTCCTCCCTCTCAGGCTCAGAAAGTGATTCAACTCATTTTTTACTTGGAAGTAGTCGTAGTCAGACAAGAACCATCTAATCTCTCTACTACCAAATCTGTGCATCTGTATTTGTCTATACTCTCATACTTTGCCTTCTCACTTATTGTGACAAATACACAGTCCCTTATACAAATCCTTGGCTTCTGCTCTGCAATCTCTCTCCTTTGATCCAACAAGCTGTGACCTACCTCATTCATTCCTCTCTCACATCAGCGGGGAACAACAGTTTAAAATTCTACACTTGTTCCAAAAACTCTTTCCAACACTCACTCACTATTGTGTTCTATTTCATCGAAAATCTCAAAAGAGACACCTATACTTGCTGTTTAAGTGTTCACACCACTGATTTCCTTCCATCCAACTGCAACTGGCTTTTTATCCCAGCACTCTCCTAAAGTGATCCTTAGCACAGTTACCATTTAGCTCATCCTGTCAAACACAGTGGTCAAGTTTCTGTCCTTATCTTATTTGCTATCCCATCAGCATTTGTGACACCATCAATTCCGTCCTCCTTGGCTGGGTTTTGTACCCTCTTCCAAACTTTGAATGTTAGATTACTACAGATCTCAGTTCTGAACCCTTTACTATTTTCTGAACCAATTTCAGTATTAGTTTGAGATAAACCTGGCTCAAACATAAACATTTTCTCCCAGAATGCACTAGGTAATATACAGAATGAGGGCTGGTGATATGGTTTAATGAAAAAAACACTTGCTTAGCATAGCTGAGGCCCTGGATGAGACAAAGAGGAAAAGAGGGAAGAGGAGGAGGAGGGATGGGAGGAGGAGGGGAGAGAAAGGGAAAAGAGGAGAGGAGAGGGGAGGGAGATTTATTCCCCTGGTTAGGTATTTCCTACTATTCAATAACAAAAGTGGGCACCATTTAAAGATATTTTTATCATTAAATTTGCTTGGATACATTTTTTTTTTCTAAAACTTGAGAGGTATATTTAGTTTTAATTTCCTCCTTTGAAACATTTGAGCAGACTTTGTGATAACAATGAATTGTTTTATCGTCTGTCTTCAATTCTATCCAGAGTTAAGGATCTTGGTTATGTGACAATTACTCCAGAAAAATGTTTAAAATATAGAAAAATAAAACAAAAATACTCATAATTTTATCACCACTGAAATGTTTAATATTTTGTTTTTAAATTTGCTCATATATAATATTATGATATATATACTTCTTATATTATTTTATCAAAATGTTAGTATTAAGCTGGGCATAGCGAGCCAAGTTTGTAATCCCAGTGCTACAGGAGGCTGATACAGGTAGCTTCAAAGTTTGAACCTTACCTGGCTGACTTAGTGACTTAGCAAGAACCTATTTCAAAATAAAAAAGGGTGGGCTCAATTCACAGTACTGCAAAAGATAATTAGTATTAACAATGCTTAACATTTATTAAGCGTTTACTATGAACTGGCATTGTACGTGTTACAGTTTTAGATCTTGAGTATTCACACAGACACACACACACACACACACACACACACACATACACACACACACCTAAGTCTTGTGTGTTCAAAGGTGTGGTGTTTGCAGGACAATTGGATTGCAGGGTGCTGCCCTCATGAATTCCTAGATGAATTCATACCTGAATGCTGATTGGAATGAGTCACAATGGCACAACCCAGGAACATGTGCTCTTGTTCCGTCCCCTTCCTCTCTCTGCCTCTTGGCTGTCACGGGGTACAAAGCAAAGCTTTCCCCTGCCATGACCTCTTGCCTTGGAGCCTCTTGCCTTGGGTGGTTACCCTTGGACTGCATCTGCTGAAAGCCAGGAATCAAAATAACCTCTTCTTTAATTTGCTGGTGCCAGGTATTTTTCCCAGTGATGGGAAAGCTGACTAATACAAGACCCAAAACATTAAGTATATTATCTCACTCACACAAACTCTGTGAAGTAGGAACTGTACCCCACATTACAGTTAAGGAAAATGAGGTTGCGAGAATTGAAATAACATGAAAAAGCTACCAAATTCATTAATGGCTAATAAAGCAATAAATTATATATTTTGCAAACTCTAAAATGTAAGTTATCGATATATCCAGCTCCAGTTTGGGGAATTTTTTAAACATCAGATATGATATACTTTCCGTATCTTCTTCCTTTATAAAACCTGAGTTGCTACATTGATGGTGCTAGGAAGGACCATGAAAGAGAATTTCGTACCTCTTATCCACCGACAGGACCATTGCTGTGGTGTAAACGGACCATCTGACTGGCAGAAATACACATCTGCCTTCCGGGCAGAGAATAACGACGCAGACTACCCCTGGCCTCGGCAGTGCTGTGTGATGAACAACCTTAAAGAACCGATGAACCTGGAGGCTTGCAAGCTGGGTGTGCCTGGTTATTACCACAATCAGGTGAGTTCTCTCCACTCCCAAGATCTGCCAGAGGGTCCTCTACCTGCAGGAGGAAAATAACAGTCCACTGTAACTAATAACCTGCAAGTAAGGAGCTCTGCACCTTTCTTCCTAAATCTTGTGCTAATTCTTTTCCTCCCTGTTACTGTGAATACTAACCTAGAGCTAATATGGACAAATTTACATTTTTAATAAAATCAGCAGGACATAATATAGCAAAGTACAACACTTTAAATTAAGACACTAGAATTGATATTCCAAGGATATTTACAATAAATTAACATTTGCTTTAGCTTTGCAAACTATAAATTGGGAGGTATGTTATTTTTTTTTTTTTACCTGTACCGGGATCAAACTCACGACTGCCTGCTTGCAAGGCAGGCACTTATGTTGCTGAGCTAAATCCCCAGCCCCAACTATTTTTTTTTTTAAGTGTCTTGCCAGTTCCAAAGGACAGGCGATTGTTGAGGGTAAAGGTAGTAACTATACGTAAAATCAACATTGCTTATCCAGTGGTAACACGGGACAGTCTTAATAAAATATGAGGTAGGTGTGATGTGGGTCAAAGATGGTTGATAAAGTGTACAAACTCCACAGGGATCTGGGAATGAGGGAGACAGAAGGCCAAGGAGGGGAGGTAAAGCCGATTAAGATGCAGGACGTACGTGTACCACTTCCCCAAGATGTCAGCCATTATCACATGTCACAAGCACGTACTAATACAAAAGAAACCAAAAAATAAATAAGATACCAAAAATAAGATTATCCTTTCAAAGCAAGGGCAAAAAAAAATTGAAGCAAGGCATTAACAAGTGAATGAGGAAGTAAACAATTTTTAAAAGCAGGTTTACAAGCAGGTGGATTTTGAATGCTTGCTTTGGGGCTAATGAAAATAATGTGACAATAATCATGAAATATTTGTTAAGTTCTTACCAAACACCAGACCCTATTCCAAATACTAATGCCTTTTATGCTTAACAGTTGGCACTGGTGTGATTCCTCTTTTAGAGATGAGGAACTGAGGGAGATTGTGGTTGATACTTTGTCTAAGGTCACATAACAGGTAAATTGTAGTCAGTATTTAAACCCAAACAGTCTGGCTCCAAAGCAGACTCCCAGCTAATAAAGACTTGGCAAGAGTCCCAAAGTCCTTGGTGAGCAATAGCACACACCTGCCATCATGCTGTGTTCACACAGCACACTGAAACAGTGTCCTGCCTGGACGGTGACCCCTCTGAAGAAGCCTAACTGTATGCCGCCCTATTGATTAACTGGAGTAAGTGACAAGCTGCATGCCTGGCGTGACAGACACTGCACTGCAGAGGGCCTTGCTAACCTGGCAGGGTGCTGGCCTAGGACGCATGCGTTAATCCAGAAAGCCATGGAGAAATTTAACAATTACGGAGCAGTGCTTAGACCAACTCTTATTTAGCTTCACAATAGCACTCTTCAGACATTGCTTTCAATCAGCTGTGTTCAGAATGCTATGAAAATAAATCTGCTGCTTATGATCAGTGTACAAACTATGACTGTGGCTGACACAACCCTCTCAGCATTTCAACATCAGAAGTAGGGTGTGCAAACAAGTCCTACTGAAATGTAATTGTATACAAGCCATATCACCTCTTGGAAAGAGATAAAAGGTAGCCCGTATGCCCATTGATAGATGAAGGGATATAAAGACAATGTGGTTTTTACACACAGTAGAATACTACTGTGCCATAAAGCATGCGAATTTGAGTAATGTGGAAGAAAATGGATGCACCGTGAGGCCATAGTGTTAAGTGAATGAATCAGAGGCACAAACTTAAATACTGCATGGTTTGTCTTACATGAGAAATCCAAAATATAAATAAGGAACAAAATAAAAGATAGGTAATAGGGGTTGGGGAATTGAGCTTTCTCAAATGGGAAAGAGACCCAGCGATAGGGAGGGGAGTGGAGAGGCAACGGGATGAAAAAATGAATTAAAATGTGTCAAGAGTGTAAACACTATGTACTACAAACACGTTCTAATATAAAAAGAAAGATGCTGGGTGTGGTAGCGCAGGCCTATAATCTCAGCACTTGGGAGGCTGAGGCAGGAGGAGCGCTGTGAGTTCGAGGCCAGCCTGGGCTACATAGTGAGACCCTGTCTCAAAACAAAACAAAATTAAAAAAAAAAACAAGAAAGGAAGAAAGGAAGGAAGACACAAAGAAAGAAGGAAGGAAGAAAAGAAGAGATAAAAATGGCAGTCACCTTGAGACAGTTTACTTCACAAAAACACTATTTTATGAGAACAAACCTAAAACTGCTAATCTTTCTCCAGTTCAAATAGTTGACATTAGAAGGAATCCAGCCCTCTCTCCTCACACTGCACGGGCCTCCACACTCTTGGCCAGCCTTCTAATGCCTGCCCTCTCTGCCCTTGGGCCTGTCTTTCCGTCCCCACCTGTAATACCTACCAGCCAGGCTCTGCTCCCAGGACGCTGTGACTCAGCTTGCTCCTGCACCGGCACCCTGCGCTCTGGGATTCCTCCTCTGTGCCTCCCTCCATCTGCCTCCACGTCCTCTTTGTCACTCACTCCTCACCCTCCTCTTGACTCTGTCCCTCCGCCGTCTCTCTAGCCCCCTTCCCCATTCTTGGGTTTCATAGATTCTACTAATTCTGCCTAGCTATCCTTTTCCACAAAGTAAAATATGCTGCTCCAATTCCTGTTACTTTTGCTATTATTATCCACCACTCTGAACTTTATTTGTTCACAAGTTTATTTTTGCTATGAATCCCCTTAAGGATGATGTATTATTCAATTCTGTGTCTCCGGTACTTAGCATAATGCCTGGCACAAAGCAAGCACTCCATAAATGTGTGGTGGGTGGATGAGTCAAGAAGTGAGCAGCCTTTTACATCTTTTGTGAGGCTTTTCAAGATCACAAATATGCTGCTATATTACATGGTAATTCCAGCTAGCAGTAGATGCCATGAGCAGACATAAAATGGTAAAATATGCAGATTATGGGAGGGAAAAGGGTATTGGCTCTACAGTTGTCTGGAAAGGCTTCATTGAGATGATAGTTCTGAATTGAGGAACCCAAATACTAGAAGATGGGGAGGGCTAAAACAAAGGAAACAGGGATGGCAAAGGCCTGGACAGGGCACAATCTTGGCTCTTTGGAGGAGCCTCAGAAGAGATCAGGCCGAAGAGACCAGAGTGGACAAAGACAAGAATGGAGTCCGGCTTCTGGGCAACCAGGAGGCCACAGCAGTAGTCCTGCATTGAAGCCCTCATGGGCCAGGGTGGTACCGGGGAATGACAAGACAGGTTTGGATCTAGGATGTATTTTTAAAGTAGACCAAAAAGGATTTGGCTAAGTATCAGAGGTTGGAGAAATAACAAACAAGTAAGAATAATTTTGAGGTTTTAAATTTGGGTATCTAGGTACATGGAAATGTAATAGAAAAGGAGAACTGTAAATAGGGATAGATCAAGGAACAGCAAAAGCAAAGCACGTACATTGTATTAACCAGAGACAAATAGAGTTGTAAAGGACAGAACCTCCAGTGGTCACCAGTAGCCACTGGCTGGAATTTAAACTTCATGGTCACCCTAGGATATTTGCTAGCAAATCTAGACCATTTGCCTTTTCACAATTCCTGAAATCAGGGCTGGATGTTGCGCATCCTATATATTCCCTGTGACTCCAGGGGTTCATTGTTGATTGCTTGGATGGTGGCTCTAGCCTTACACACATTGTACTCCACCATTCTGCATAGTGACTAACTTAAAGCATTTCATCTATAAACACTTATGGCGTGTGGCATCTATGAATGGGTTCATAAACTCTAGTCTCTCTTTTGCATACACACCATGGCTTTCCAAGTTCTTTCACTATAACCCAATATGGACATGTTGAAATACGATATGAAATGAGAATTTAGGGTGCATGATGTAGGAATTCTGTTAATAATTGTCTTTAAATAGCAACAGAAGACCTTCGGTTTGCATGCACCAGAAGCACTTTTGCTTAAAAAAATATTTAAATATAACTCTGCCTTCAAATCACCAATAAAATCTTTTGGAAAGGAAAATAATTCAATTTTTTTAAAGCGTATTGTCCACATGTGATCCGTCCCGCGGATCAGTCCGTGGGCCTTTGCCTGGAGAAGGGACAGGGATGCAGGGCAAGGCAAGAGAAAAGAGAGACCGAGACTTGGCAGGATTCCATTCAAGCCTCGTTTATTTTTAAAATGGCTACAACTTATATAGGGTGGAGGCGGGCCAATGGGGCAGGAAGAGGGCACGGAGTGTTATCTGATAGGTCATCATCACATCCGGATATATGACATAAGCAGGAGAAGATTATGGGTAATGTAGGCAGACATGAGGATCATGGGAAATGTAGGCTAAAGTGGGAAGTTGCTTACATCATGCACATTGTAGGCAAGGGGAGGATCATGGGAAATGTAGGCTAACACACAAAATACCCTCAGGTGGGAGGGGCAGGGCAGCAGCAGCCATTCTAAGCCACTGCCTACACACATGTTTAATATGAAAAATATTATGCTAAAATATCAACACATTTGTTAACGAAACTGAGTAATAAACACACAGACAAATGGGACCCAGGATAATTATTAACAGTATTTTTTATGTTACTTAGCAAAACACTCCTAGCAGCTGCCTCCCCGTAGGGCTATGAAAATAGGCTGGCTGTGAAACTGGACCCTGGAGGTTGCTGATCAAATAGGAATCTGTTCTCTTGCCCATCTCTTACATCTTTTTTTCTGCTTCCTCTCACAACGTCATGGATTCCCCCATGCACACACCAGGGCTGCTATGAACTGATCTCTGGACCAATGAATCGCCATGCTTGGGGTGTTGCCTGGTTTGGATTTGCCATTCTCTGCTGGACTGTGAGTACTGCCCTGCATGTGTTTTATTTCTGAAAGAGGTGATTCTAAGATGATCATGTTCATCACAATCACACTAGAAGATCTAGATGCAAAAATCTTGCAGCTGGATGCTAGTCAGGAAACTTCGGGCCCACAACAGTGGCTTTACCCGAGGCCTGCGGAAGGTTAGCACCCTATCCAGAAAAAGATACAAAACAAGATCTTTCTTCGGGCTGTCTGGGTGGCACTCAGCTTTAGGGATTGGACAGCCTCTTTCCCTTGCCTGGACTTCTGAGTGAATTCCAGCCTGATGCTCCAGATCTCATCAGTTCATGACACTAGACCTCAAAAACCTACTTAGACGGCTCCTGGCCAACATGATCCTCCTGGCTCTTCCAAAAGAACAGCCTGTGCCGGTTCCCTCTTTTCCAACTGCCTTATTTACCTGATATGCATCAAACAAGAGACCAGAGCTGTGCTTCTCAGCTTGGGGTGCACATTAAACTTCATGGAGGAGGAGCTTTTTTCTAATTTTAAAATTCTCAACCTCTGAGATTCTAACCAGGCCTTGGGCTTCCTTTTCTCCCCTGGGTTATTCTAGTTTGATGGCAGGACTGAGAACTGTTGCATTTGGTTAGCAGCCCCAGACTTGATGTCAGAAGCCCTCGGTACTCTCAAAATATATTGAGGATTCCAAAAAGCTTTGCTCTATGTAGCCAATATCTATTGATATTTATGCCCATTGGAAATAAAGTCAAAGGTTAAATATTTATTAATTCATTTTAAAACTTCAATTACAAATTAACATAAATGACATATTTTTAGTAGGAGAAAATACTATTCTACAAAACAAAAAATGAAACTGGCAGTGTTTCAAATCTCATCAAATTCTGGTTTAGAAGAAGGCAGCTGGATGCCCTTCCATCTGTCGTAATATGTGACCAGACCAACTTTCAAGAAAATATAGTCATCATAAGGACGCACAGTCGAATAAGCAGCAAAGTTTCCGTAGTCTTCTCTAAATATAATCACGAATATTCTTCTAATACTACGCCAAATTCCTCAAGTTTCTTAAAATCAGTTGTAAAATGGAATCTGAAAGTATGTTAGTGAACTTTTCAGACTTTGCTATGTTAAAATGCATTACACTGGTTTGTCTTGAACTTTGCACAAATCTTTTATCCATGTGTAATTCTGTAACATCATGAATCAGCTATTTGGGAAAATATTGTCTCACTGTACTATGCAAATCTTCCAAATGTTGATTTATTTATGTAACACTAAAAGATCATATTCATTGATATTGAGCAGGTGCTCCATAATTTGTTGAATGAAAGGAAGGTTAAGACTGTGAGGTCATCATTCATATTAGTAGGAGCCAGAGGAAAACATTTAAAAATTTTTGAGTATCTTAGTACAGTACTCCAGACCGCTTCTGCCTCTTGATATTTCTGTGGATTCTAGATATTATAAATCTTCCTTAAAATTCAAAAAAGGGATGCAAAGGAAACTAGAAGTGCTGTGGTTCCTCCATGGTCAGGATAGCGTGTATTATTATTATTATTATTATTATTATTATTATTATTATTTGTCTTTTTGAGATAGGATCTTGCTAAGCAGTTCAGGCTGGCCTTGAGCTCACTTTGTAGACCAAGGTGGTCTCAAACTCATAACAATCCTCCTGCCCCAGCCTCAGTGCTAGGATTACAGGCATGTACCACCATACCTGACTTCAAATTATTTTTATATTCAGTTCCCACAAGGGTAGCTCCATAGGTAGGTGCCAATCTCTCATTTTATAAGAAATGATATTTAAGAAGATGTCGTAGGCATGTCCTATTCCCTGCTGCTTTCCTGTAGTGGCTAATGAAATAAATTCTGAGGCTGACTCCCTGGGTTTGGACCTAGCACGATTTACTCTGTGAATTGGGGTGAGTCCTAATCCCCATGCCTTGGGTTCTTCAGAGGGATTTAGAAGCAAGTGTGCTGATGTTTGCAAGGTTCCCTAGTAAACCTTAGGTCTCCTTACTGTATTATGTCATTCACTCTTCTCTATGAAAGAGGTAGATAAGACATTCTGTTTATTTTACAGGATCTGAGGCTCAGGAAAGCCACATCTTGAAAGTAGGGGCCAGGTCCAAAATGAAGTCCAGGATAGTGCAATCCCTTGCCTGCGTCAGGCATGCTGAGTTCCATACTATCCTTCCAGGGTGGCTGTCCCAGCCAGCTGACCCCTGGTACCTACTAGACACAGAAATGTATTTGAGGCTGATTAGACCTGATGGCAAGAGGAAAAAACTTCTCCAGCATAGGAGTAGGGTATAGTTTTGCACAGAAGTGAGAAGCTCAACCTCAGAAGTCAGAAAATTTGAGATGAGAATTGAGGTAGAAAGGGGGGGAAAAGGATATTGCCTCTGAATGGCAAGTTATAGGTGACGCTTTAGAACAGAGGGACTCTGTCACATCTGGCCATGTGCCATGGCTTTGGGGAAGACTACTAGAAAATGTAGCATCACCTAAATGTCAATGAACCTAACCTCATTTTTTTTCCAAGTAAAAGACGTTTCTTAAAATTTTGTAAATTTATTTGTTTTCCCTCTTTTATTCTAGTTTTGGGTTCTCTTGGGTACCATGTTCTACTGGAGCAGAATTGAATATTGAGGATGAAGTGTGACCACCATACTGCCTTGCCCTGTGGAGTCTGGATTTGGTGCTGGAACTTTCTCCTAACAGTCCACACTTGTGCCTCGCAGTAACTTGCACATCTTCCTCACATCACCGAGACAGAGCACCTGGGGCTGCTTGAGGCTTCCTGGCTCTTATGGTTCTCAGGAGTGTATTTTTCATGCTAGTGTAACAGTCTGTTCATATTTGTGGACTACAAGACAGAAAGAATTTGGAAAGTAGTGACTACTGTCATCCTGGGTTTATTTGGGGGGGTGGGCATCAAGATACTCAAAGGAACTTGTATTGTCATAGTAAGCCAAGTCTGTACTGTATCTCATGAGCAAATCTGCCCATATACCTCACTGATTTCTAAAAAAAAAAATTCCAACACTTCCATTTATCTCAGTACTTGCCAGATGAGGGAGGGAAGAATGCACAAATGTAGCTTTAGCCTTTTATTCTATGGTTTCTGTCTAATGAGATTCCAGCAATTCTCTTGATACTGCATTTAGATCCTTTTATTCTCCAGAGGAAGCCCTCGTCTTTCATTAAAAATAGTTCAACCCTCCTCTTGTTGCTTGCAGAACCATTTATGTTTCATAGTCTCAACTCACCATTCATTAAAAGTATATGGAGCTGGGCACGATGGCTGGTGCGTATAACATCAGCATTCTGGGAGACTGAAGCAGAAGGATCGCAAGCCTAACCCCTGCAATTCAGAACTTAGGGAGACCCTTTCCTAAAATAAAATAAAAAGATCAGGGGCTATAATTTTATGTGAAGGCCCTTGGTTCATCCCCAGGGACACACACACACACACACACACACACACACACACAAAAGACAAGAAAAAGTGTGTACTTGGGGACACAAAAGAAGACTATTATATATTTATTTGGTCGTTGCCCAGAATTGTCTTGACTTGGAACATCTTTCAGATGCTGGCGGCCATCGGCCGGTCCCAGATGCTGGCGGCCTTGGAACATCTTTCAAATAACCAAAGTGTATACCAGCTTTTAAAATGGGTGGTTTATGAGAACTTTTGTTTGCTGTCAAAATATTTCTCTTCTATACTATGTTTCCATTTTTGGTCCCAGAGCAAGTTCTTATAACTCAACATTTGCTTGCTGACTCTTATAAATAAAGACGGCTTTAAAATATGTTCACACTCTTGTTTTTATCAACGTCGTAACTGGTCTGCGGGAGTCTAACACCATGAGTTTTCCAACAGGAGAGCCCAGTGTGTGGAGCTGAAAGTGAAGGGGATGTAAACTCGGCCATGGGTTTGGCTTCCTGCAGGATGCTGGCTCACCCAGCTGCCCAGCAGAGTGGTGGGAATCTTACGTTTGCTTTTACCTTTTGCGCCTGCTGCGCTTACCCTAGAAAATGCTTTTTCTCCTTTTGAGGCAGTGCCATCATCTCTAATGCCAGTGGTCCAGTGAATACATTGCTTGGTCCTGAGACTTCCAGTTGAGACACAGATTGCACCCCCACCCGTGCTCCACCAGCTTCTGTTAATGAGGGTGGGCAGAGGAGGGCTGAGGCAGGGTGGAGGAGGCACTTTCAGAGGCAGCTGGTGGCCAAGCTCGGGCAGAAGCAAGATTTCCTGTCCCCAGGGTGAGTGGCCAAAGCATCTTATGTCATCCTGGCCTTGCCTCATCTCCCCAGGATCCAGGCGCAGTGGCCTATCAGAGTAAATGCCCCCAGCACATGGTGACAAGGCTCTCTACTGTGGTCTTCCAGGAGAGGACAGGAGCTTATTCCCTCCACACTCCCCCACACATCAGGTGCCTTTTGCTTCCGAACTGACTAGGTTTCCCAGGGCTGCATGCTCTTCACTAATTCTTACCCCAAAGCCTTCTCTCCCAGGGCTTCCAAAATGCTCTCAACCTACAAAATTCCCTTCCTTCTCTCTGTGAGATCTTAGGCAAGCCAAGGAAAAGTCTTTGAAAACTAATTCATGCTAAGTGATGACCAGCTCCCACTCCCTCAATCTGTTGGGTTTTCCTTGATAGTAGCAGGAAAGAGGTACCAGGAGGCAAGATGGCCCAGCTGCTGCTACTTCAATCAAATTGCCTGATTTCCTACAAAGGGCTTCTGCTCCCTGTCACCTCTCTAGTTGGCTTCCTACCTAGAGCCTCAGGATCAGCCCTCACAGAAGGTACAAACTCCATGCCAGATGGGGACAAGCCTAGTAAGATCCACAGTCACACACTGCCCTAGTCTTCTGCAACATGTAACAGAGTAGACTCTACTTCCTTAGATCCTAGCTCTACACAACCTTAACAAGTTGCTTAGTTTTCTGGAGCTTGCTTCAGAAAAACAGATCTATTGTCACTTAGGACTCATTAAGCCATGTAAAGTGTGGATCGGAATAGCTAATGATCTAAATGTGGAGGGCCACCTAGAGGACTCTCCTTGAATAAAGAGCAATTATCTCCATTTTAGCTAAACCTGGCCCTGTCTCCATGTACTGATCCGTGCAGGGCTGGCTAGGCTATTTTTTTATCCATTCAATTGACTGTAAGCATTGTAAATAGGGTTAGCTGAGATGCTGATGTGTGACCTTCGAAGCTAGGTGACAGTTGCTATTTCCCCACCCAGTGACTCCCAAAAGTCATGGTTGAGCCAGGCAGGTTGAAGAACTATCATGCTTCACGCTGTCAACTGGGATTGAGCCTCGAGATAAGAGGCCATGACTACCCAGGGCAGAAAAGTTTACACATCAGAACTGAAGCAACACCCCAAAACATCAGATGCTACTTCAGTTGTGTCATACAGATTTCTCTTCCTGCATACCCGTCTCTCTGCATATTATAGAGGTGATCTCAGGCCACCCGTCTAGCCCAGCTCATAGCACTCACATACGTCCCACTTATCTTACAGACACTCATCCCCAAGCCACTCCCTTGTTCGCAAGTTAATAAAATCTGGGTTGGGCCCTGGGTTGAGGCATTTGTTCCAGTGAACCACTATCTAGGCTGGACTTAGGACCCCTTTGACTCCCATAACTATAAATATGTTTTAGTGACTTTATTGTCACTACAGATTGCACTAGAAGTTGCAGATTGGAATCAACTCACTAGAATTCCAATAACTTTCCATGGAATTATAAATACAAACTTCTCAGGCTATGATGAGGACCGAGGGAGTTCTCTATAGATCTGCAAGATACCTGACAGGAAGAAATCCACTGGTTCCAATCCATGGGAACACACCAACTAATGCTCTCTTGCTTCAGTTTATTGTAATAATCTTAATGAGCAATTATATGTGTTCAAATTTATTGGGCATCAAACAATAGCTATGAGTAATAACTTTCAGGAAAACTCCTACTCCATAGTGTGAGAATGCACTGGAGTCATCAAGATAAAGCATTTTAATGACTACATCTCCAGTTCTCTGTATTGTTTATAAAATCCTAGCAATAATATGTGATTCTGCCTTTGCCGCCTTCACAGGGAAATCCATTTCCCTTACACTGTGATATCTGAGGGGGTTGGCACAATATTCATGTCAAGAGAGGTCCAATTCAAACCTCACCTCCTCCCTTTACCAACTTTGGAAAGTTGACTTGAATATGTTTTCTCTTTGCAGTATGCATACACACAACTAGCTATTAGAAAGTTAAAAGTAGAAAATTTTAAAACAAGAAAAATGATATAGAATAAGGATTCAATTATTATTGTACCCTACCCATCACCAACCTCTCTCCCAAGTCCAAACACACACACACACATTCTCTCTCCCTTTTCCTTTCCCATATAGACACTCAAGGGTTCATATTTGAATTCTCAACAATTGTGGAAGCATTTACCTATACAGGTGTGCTCTCTGGGGGCAGCATCTGTGAGCTACGCCCATGTGTATACTTTGGAAACCTATCACACCCTCTCAGCAGGTGTAAGATGGCTACATACGTACACTTGCGTGCGCGCGCACACACACACACACACAGTGGCAATGACTGTTGGGAGCCGCGGCCAAGCCCGGTCGCCTTACTTGGCGGACGTTAGGCCTGTAGGAAAGAGCAAAGCCTGAGCTAGATTACCCCTCCCATCGAGTGAGCCAAAATGGCGCCTGCTTCCTGCCCCCTGATTGCCCTGGCAACGTAAACAACCCGCTCTGTAAGATAGTCTGCCTAGCAACAACTGATGTTAGCCAATCAGCCCGCATCGCGCGCTTTGAACTGATTGGCCACTGTTACCCTATAAAAGTAAATGCCTCTCCCGCCACGAGAGAGAAGCACAGAGAGAGATAGAGAAAGTCCACCAGCGAGAAAGGGCTGGTGGCAGAGCAGAGGCCTCGCGGGGCCCACGCGGAGACAAATAAAGACAAGGTTGCACACCGTCAGAATCTGTCGTGTGTTTTTCCTGCCGGCCGGGAGCGACACCGACATCTGGTGGCCCGTATGGGGACTTGATCACTCCCCTCGGTGGTGTGCAACGCTCCAGCGTGGTGCTGCCGGACAGGTGAGTGGGGGATAAGCCTGGGCTCTGGGTGGCGCGCACCTACAGGGCTTTTAGACTCCCCTCAGGCTCACGCGTAGGTGACGGGTTCTCTAAGTCACACGCGGTGAGTTACAGCCCTTAGAGGTTAAAGATGGGTAACTTACCGAGCGCGGAGGCGTGGCCCTTGGTAAAGGCCCTTAAAAAGCTTTTAAAGTCTAGAGACCTCAGGGTAGGGCAAAAAACACTGGAACTATTCATAGCGGAGGTAGATAGGGTGGCTCCCTGGTTTTTACCCACAGGGCATTTAAACCTGCCATCATGGGAGAAGTTAGGCGGGGACCTCGCCTCGGCGGAATTGGGAGGCGATATTTCGCTGGCTATTCGCCCCCTGTGGGAAATGATACATGCGTGCCTTGAAGGGGAGGGGAAGGGGTTCCCGTCGGCAGTTAGAGACGCGGAAATCATGGACGCACGCAAGGCTTTTGAGCAGGCAAAGTCGGAATGCTCTCGGGAGGGATCTGTCCAGGGGGAGAAGATCCAGGGAAAGATAGAGGACACCCAAGCTCTGGAGTCCTCCGACTCAGATAGTGAGGAGAAACTAGAAGGTGGGGCAGGAAGCCGAGAGGCCCAAAACCCCTATGCCGAGTTGCGCCGCGAATTGTGTGCGTGCGCCGCCCGAGAAAAGCAAAGAGAGGAGAAAGGACCCCCGAGCGCTCTCTGGCGGGGAGGAGATAGAGAGCCATCCGCTCTGCCCTGGAGCTCTTTTCCAGAAGCGGTTCCCCGCTGAGAGGCCGCTACAGGGGACCCTCCCTTCTCTCAGCCGGCACAGGAAGTGACGCCCCGTTCCACTCTGTCTCGACCGCCGTCCTATGACGTCGCGCCGCGGGGTGGACGATATTTTCATGGGCGGTTATGGAGGGGTAAAGGATGGCCCAGAGGGGATCCATCGATGCAAGGAATAGATTACGGTCCTTATGGAGTATTTCCTGTGCAAATGGCCCCAGGCCAAGGGCGCAATGTTTGGAAACCGTTTAAAATAAAACAGATTAGAAAATTAAAAAGCGCTGTCATGACCTTCGGGCCCACAGCTCCTTATACCATAGCTATGCTAGAGAATCTTGCCTCCCAGCCTCTTACACCAGGTGATTGGATGCAGCTGGCCAAGACATGCCTTCCTTTGGGTAGTTATCTTGATTGGCGAACATGGTACACAGAGTTCTCTGCCGAGCAGGCTGAGAAAAACGCCGGTCGAGGAAACAGGGGCTGGGGATTTAGCTCAGCGGCATAAGCGCCTGCCTTGTAAGCAGGCAATCGCGAGTTCGATCCCTGGTACCGATAAAAAAAAATAAATAAATAAAATAAAAAAATAAAAAAAATAAAAATAAAAATAAAAAACAAAAAGGGGGAGTAAGCCAAGGCCTGCCTCCAAAGGTGCGGTTATCTATGGCATGACAATGGATGGGCCCGGATCCGGTGGTTAGCTGGAACCGAGGCGCGGTTTGTGTTTTTCCGCAGGGACCGGGACGAGAACCACTGTGGGTCCCAGAGAGGTTGCGACAAGTCCCTCGACTGAAGATCAGGCCTGTTCCACCAAAGGCCAACCGCAGACCCAACAACAAGATGAGCCCTAAAAGAACTGCAAGACAATCCCTTTTGGGGAGCCTGGAATGGCTTGCTCCCCTATGTTTTACCATTGTTAGGTCCCCTGTGCTCCTTGCTTCTGCTCTTACTTGTAGGACCATTCTTGCTCCGATGGGTTACATCATTTATTAATGGGCGCCTTGCGGCGGCCCGGCATCAAGTACGCCTGGTTGCCCATGCGGCCCTGGCAGCAGCCCGTGATGGGCACAATGACCCCCAGGCCTACGCATGGCTCACTCGGTTGGCCTACGACCGAGTCTAGATGTGGTGGGTCTCCCGCACTCCTTCCCTAATGACACTGCACAGCAGGGTAGGTGAGTCAATGACGGGTAAGAGCGTGCCTCTCCAGCACGACTCGACCTAAGCCAGGCCCTACCCCATACTGCACGAAAGCCGCTGGATTACTAGAATCTGCCCAGATCTAGATGTCTCTCCGAGGGGATCGCACGGAGGGGCATGAGTGCATGCCTATGTGCATCCAGGTTCCGTCCAGTTCACTCCTGGCCCTGGAAAAAGGACGAGGGTCTCAAGGCCTTGGCGGACCCAGGGGCGGCCGACCAGGGTCCAAGCCAAGGGCCTACGGTGGGCCTCAACACAGGGCATAAGCCTCTGCACTCAACCCAGGGCGGGCTGCGATGCGTACATTCCTTCAAAATAAATAAAATAGGGGGAGATGTTGGGAGCCGCGGCCGAGCCCGGTCGCCTTACTTGGCGGACGTTAGGCCTGTAGGAAAGAGCAAAGCCTGAGCTAGATTACCCCTCCCATCGAGTGAGCCAAAATGGCGCCTGCTTCCTGCCCCCTGATTGCCCTGGCAACGTAAACAACCCGCTCTGTAAGATAGTCTGCCTAGCAACAACTGATGTTAGCCAATCAGCCCGCATCGCGCGCTTTGAACTGATTGGCCACTGTTACCCTATAAAAGTAAATGCCTCTCCCGCCACGAGAGAGAAGCACAGAGAGAGATAGAGAAAGTCCACCAGCGAGAAAGGGCTGGTGGCAGAGCAGAGGCCTCGCGGGGCCCACGCGGAGACAAATAAAGACAAGGTTGCACACCGTCAGAATCTATCGTGTGTTTTTCCTGCCGGCCGGGAGCGACACCGACAAATGACTTAAAATATCTTAGTGAAAAACAATTTATACATCATAAATCTAAACATGTCCCACCATGTAGGACATGTTAATGGTTCTTGACAGGGACTTAGATGAACTGAAAAGTTTCAAGTATGGCAGAAAATGTCCTTCACTTCCCACAAGAGTCCATTCACAGCATTTTGGGACACCCAAGGAAATTACTGAACTGGGACTTTTGTGATAGCAAAGGAGCTACAGAGAAATTAAGTAGGGAGGGAGTCTGCAAACAAGTTGCAAGAGACCAGATGAGGATCTGAAGGTAATTTGTAGGATCCAGAATTACTAACCCTCTGTAGAAGCTAGGACAGGGATATAAACCCAAGAAAATCACCTCAAACACGGAAGCAGCTCAGATAAGGACAACGTGGTAGAATAGGCTGAAGTCACTGAGCCTCTGTTCATTGGTTGTGGGATATCTGGCAATGACCCACTGTTTGAACCTCTACCCTCTCCTCTGCCCCTCTTCGCTTAGGAATCTGCAGTGTCCACAAAGTGTGTATAGAAACATCACAATCCATAAAGCATCGTAGAAATGAATGCTAGCGTGAGGAGAAAAACAATGGAAACTTTAAAGTATCAGATGCTTTGTGTTAGGTGGTTGTGATACCCAAATTATCTGCATCCACGTAATCCTCTGTAATCATAGCCCACATAAGTGTCTCTATGATATGGGAAATACTTGGCTTCTTTGTACAACTATGAAAAAAACACAAAATATAGGACCTGGGGTAAGCTCAGTTCCTTTGAAGCAAATTCCCACAGGCCAGTTGTGCAGTGAGAACAAAGAGAATGAAAACAACTAGTAAGCCAGTCAAGGGGCACAGGGTGGCATAAAGATCTTTAAAAAATTATCTTCCATCTGAAGAAGCTTCACAAGTCATTACCTTGGTGGAAACAATTACCTGAAGACAAATGAAAGGCATGGTTCAGCAGTTTCCAACATTCAAAAACATGCACAACTTATTAATACCCAATAAACAAAATCAGGGGATTTTCACATGGTATTAGCTGTATTCTATTTCCACTGAGAGAGAAACCGAGGTCTCACATGTGAGTCCTCAAATTCTCTGCACACATCATTTTATTCCAGAGTTCTCCCCAGCCATGACCAGAGCCCACAGCCTCCGAGCTCAGGCTGTTAACACCTTGGTAATCTAAGGGAGTGGGGGAGAACAGTAACAGTGACAAGCTCTGCAGGAATGTGGGGAAAGGAAATGGACAGCCTTCCTCTACTACACTCTGTTCACAAGTCTCCCCACAGTCCTACCACCATCCCAAATCAGAAGCTTCCCAACCCCAGGTCCCCACTCCTGCCTGTCCTATATGAAACTAGGTACCCCCCCCCACTCAGGTCACCTGCTGCTTCCACTATTGATTATGGGAAAGAAGGCACAAGAGGGTGAAGAGAAGAAGCTGGAGAAGTCCCCAGAATCAGGGACAGACACCTGGAGTGGCAGTGCCGGAAGTCACACAGAAGAACAAGGAGAACAGGAGGAGGAAAGAGTGGGAGGATCTGAGTTCATCTGTTCTATTTTTAAGCTGTTTGAAATAATGGAGTTTGAAATAAATACACCTGTGGCTTCCAGTGACAGTAAAAAAAAAAAAAGACTGAGCACCTGAAGCTTTTTCATATTTTACTACAGAGGTTCTTTTATAGATGTATTATTAATTCTATGTAATCTGTAAACTTCTACAACATATCCAATATGTATAAAATCATTCTACAAAATGCTTTAAAAACTAGTAGCTAATGTGCTGTCTGCTCGGCGAGCACTGGAAGGTAAATCTGGGCCCACTCCGAGGGCCAGCAGGGCCACAGAGGCCACCATCTGACTCTCTGCCCCATCACCTCTTCACTCCTAAGTTCATGGCGTCTTCCGTGGCCTCTTCCTTGTCATCCAGGACCGACATGTCACAGATTCCCAAGCAGGATAAATGAGTAACAGAAACACATCTTCGTACCTTTCTTGGTTGGGTGAGAACAATTTCAGTTCACTGAGACATTCAGCAATCCCATTTTCTATGAGCTTTTAACTCAGAATGCATCACTTCAACTTAAATAAATCTCTTTCAATCACAGCTTTTAGGTAGCCTTCATGATATCTTCTAAGTGCTTTTTATACTGTCCTTCAAGTGTGTATTACAATATTTAATCCTAACTGATCAAAACAACTAAGACACCTGTCTTGGTACAATAGTTTTACATTCCACATCATCAGGAGCTCTGCTAAGAAAATACAAAAGGAAACATTCAGCTCAGTAACTGGCTGCCACAAGTTCATAATGTGTGCTACTCGGGAACATCTCTAGGCCGAAATGATTGCAATCAGTTTCTCAAATACCAAAAGAGTGAGGGTCATGCACCAGTCCAGAAATCCACTGTGATGTTGACATATAAAGGATTGTGTTCCACAGACAGTAATTTGTAAGAACAACTCGTCAGGCCGTCTGTTTTCCAGACCCGTGACACCTGGTGCAAGAGCTTCATCCTAAAGATTAAAAAAAAAAAAAGCAACTGTAAATAATAAAACAAGAATTTGGCATGTATCTTCTTTGCATTTCCCCTTGCCCCAAAGTGGGACCAAAGTTATGGATTATGTATATAATGTTATAAATTATTGCACCTGTTGGATTTCCTACAGCAAAAGACATTTGTGTCCTTCACTGAATATAACAGTAGTCATTTTTGTGTCAGAGTCCATGTAAGATCATGGGGACCACTGGCGAAAGAGTCACCATCCAGTGTCCCAAGACTGCAAGACAAAGGAAGGACAAGGACCCGATACAACAAGACGGATGTCATCTGCTGCCACTAGGTCCTTGGATGAGTTTTAGGGGCTCTCTGAACCCGCCAGTGTTGGTAGCGAGTGCTGTGTCTGCAAGCAGGGAGCGCACGGAGCTTTAACAAGAGTCTGGATAACCCTGAGGCTGTGTATAGAAGAGGATCAATGAAGGGCACTAAAACAGTGACAGTCACCAAGTGAAGAAGGTGAAGGGAAGCACGCTTCAGCAGAGACACAGGCGAGGAGAACAGACAGGCAAAAGGTGAGGACACATTTGAGGACGAATAAGTCATTCAAATGCTGGGAGCCGAGGGAAGCAAGGAGAGGGTGAGCCAGAAAGGAACGGGTCTCTGGGATCTCAACAGTAAAAAGCGAGGAAGCGAGGAACAATGTTAAGCTAAATGATGCAAGAGCATAAGACGTACAGTGTGACTTCAATTACACAGAGCTGAAAGACACTCAAAACTAAACACTCTTTTGTCAAGGGATTCAAATATAAGTGAAAATGAGAAACAATTAGCATCATACATACTTAACACAAAAAAGTGTGACTTGGGATGGAACAGGGTGGGATGGGTTTAAGGGGTCACATGGGTCATGAACAAATTGCCATGCTTTTCACACAGTTTGTATTTTTTTGTAACTATTCGATGATCTTTAAAATTTAAAGATAAAAACACACACCTATAGACAAAGATTTGAAAAACACTGAAAACAGAGCTATTTTGTTGGAATGGCAGACTCTTCACACAAAGGCTCAAAGCTCCTTAATACTGTTTACAAACTCAGAGAAAAATTCAGGATGAAGAAATAGTCTTGAATTGGAGCCACGAAAAGAACTGGCTTGTCTTCCAGAATTGCTTGGTAAAAGGGCCAATTCCTGGGGCCAGAGCACAAGACAGGAAGCTCTCAAAGACTACTGTGCTGTGCTAAAAGGATTCCAGAGCCAGCTTGAAGGTTTCACTGGCCAAAATGAGACAGTGTGAGTATCAAAAAGGATGTTAACTACATCCTGAAAGATGCCAGGTAAGCTGGCTCATTATTCTGCAAAAGGACAAATCAATGCTTGATTCTTTCCCTTTACCCTGCCCTTCTGATGAAAAGTACACCCTAGGTACTGAGAATAGAGGAAAAGGACAGATCCTTCTCTGTGGAGACAAATGTAATGAGCTAAGAAGAAATGAATCTCAATCATATGTTAAAGAATACATTTATGGGTGATTAACACATTTTAGACAGTGAGCATCAGTGGGTGCTTAACATCGTTCAATGAAAACCAATGAGGAACCTCATGATGAGTGAATCGGGCTGACAACAGCTGAGCCCACAGGTCTACCCTAGCATTTGACAGCCCCACACTCAGAGAGTAACTGCTCCTGTGGTGACACGAGAAAGAGAAACGACACCATCAATGAAGTGTGTCTGCCCCAAAATAGTACCCAGAATCCATTCAATCTAAAGAAATTAACTCCTGTTTTGTTAAAAAAAAAATCAGAATATTTATAGAAAGATATTAAATTATATCACCAGGATGCAACTGTCAAAAATCCATAAGGTAAGAAGTTCTATTGAGCAAATGACCTGGTATGGTTACCAAGGAAATCACAGAGGAGAAAGGGCAGGGGAGCGTTTAGATTTTAAAAGATCACCCAAATGCGGGGTAGACCCCGTCTACATACTTACCTGAACAAACCAACTGTTTTGTTTTTAAAGCACTTATAATCAGGGAAACCTGACTTTTGATAATATTTAGGGGGACTGCTAATTTTATGTTAGGTGTAACAATGGAACTATAGCTCCTTTCACAAGCCTTCTTATGTATTATGTGTGCATACTAAGGGATTTCTATGCAAGATTTATAATATCTTTATTTATTTCTAAAGAGTCTAGTAGGGTAGGAAAGGAAAGAAGAAAAGAAAAGTGTCATGCACCATTTCCCCTACTTTTTTTTTTCCCTGTTTGAAGATTTCTTTCACAAAAAGCTTTTATTAGAAGAAACTTGCTTATCTGATGGAATTCAGCACCCATGAAAGGAGGAACTCGGGGCAGGCTGCCAGGCCCACGAACCCAGGACTCACCTCTCCATGTTCACTTCATTGCCTCGGTCTCTGGTATGGAAGATCATTGTGTATTTACCCACTTCAGGCTTTGGCCGGGATATTTTCATTCTGTGTAGCTCAACCCTAAGAAAAATATCATAAGAGATTAAAAACTAGATCTATTCCACTAGGCACTTAAAAAGAACCATCTGCAAAAGTTCACACATATACATACACCCACACACACACCCACAACCACACACACACACAGAGCTCAGTATCAAAAAAGAAAAACTTATAAATTTCAGATTCTCTTATACTGGTGAGAGCTCCGGCAATAAACTCATGAAAGAATCATAGTTATCATTTACAGCGGAAGCACCATGGGGATACGTCACTTCATAATCACTTTAAAAAAGCTCAACAATGTATCTAATATTTGAATACCTGCTGAGAAATATGACAATCAAGTCTCTTATAATGTGTAATTTACTTAGCACTGTCTTTTTAGCAAACAAAGGAATATTTATCTAAGGTTATGAGCTTTAAAGCCTCAGATCTAGTTCATACTTATCTAGGCTTTTGTTTATAATCTCAGTAAGTCTGCTGTAGGTCTGTTTCCACATCTGTAAAGTGTCAGTGGTGATACAGAGTTGCTTTGAAAGACGGAAGCAACAAAATCACAAGGAACATGCTTGAAAACTGAAGCATATTAAATGACAGCAAGGGAAAGTGGAAGTAAACATTAAGTCAGTGAATCCCAACCAACTTTCATGTTCAAATCATTCTGATAACCACAGCATTAGCTGAAAATCATTCTGAAGGCAATGATGTTCTTGCAAAATAAAGCTAAAGCTGGGGCTCCCCTCTACCTTGAATCTGAGATGTAGCAGGACAAAAGACAGTGAAAATAAGCACAGTACAAGTCTACTAATCATTTCTGGGCAATCAGATGGGTTTGGGAAGAAGACAGGTACTGGTTACCTCTAGCTCTTGCTGTCCTTCCCTGAAACCAACAGAGTAGGCACCGTGGGTCCAGTTCATAAGCCATGGTGACACAGGCTGTTGATCAGCCAGCCATGTGAAGCTGATGGTCACAGAAATCTAGGCCCTGCCCTCCTGCCCGGAACATTCCAGAGCCTCTCAAGCTTAGGCTTAGGAACAAGGCCAGCGTGTAGCCTTTGATTTCTTCACGCCAAAGCAACTGGAAACTTCTGATAGTCACACATGTGTTCATTCAAAACCCCTGCTTAGAAATTTCCTTTGCAAGAAATACCAGTAGGAGAAAACTGGAGAGAGCAGCAAGCCCCCAGCTAGCACACTTTAGAAAAACTGTAAGGAATACAGAGACGGCCTGAGACCTCCTCCACACACCTGTCTGAAAGAAACTAGAATCATGGTAAGGGCAAAAGATAAGACAAAACCTCCAGCCGCTCACCCTGGGAAAATAAGCCCAGGGGAGGTAAATACAGAAGAGAACCAGTCCAGTAATCATGCAGTGTTAGCCACAACATCAGCAGACATAAAGAAATACATTCGTGACTTCATAGATGAACTTAAAACGGGAATTCTAACCCAAGTGAGACAAGAAATAAAAAGGTTAATTAAAGAAATGCTAAGCCCCTCTCAAGAAAACACAGGGAAAAAGGGAGGAACCCAGAAAAGGAAGAGAAACCTTTGGTGAAGAATGTAAACAAAATCTAGAATACATAAAACAGATCCAAGGAGACTACCAGGAAACTAAAACTCCATTGAAAGCTGGCAAAATGCCTTGACAGAAACAAAAGTTAGCCTTTTGAAACTTGAAGAGAGATTTACAATGTGTGATCGTGAAAGAAAAGACCTATTAAAAATAACAAGGAACCAAGAAATAACAATTTAAAGGCTAGAAGATGACAAGAGGATCTATAACTTAAGAATAAAAAACGTAAGCAAAGAAGCAGGAGTAACCACAAACGAATTACAAAGACTATTCACAGAAACAATTAAGGAAAACTTCCCAAGCATAGGAAAAAGAAATGATACCCAGATAAATGAAGCATACAGAACTCCCACCACCTACAAGCAAAATACATCTACACCCAGACATATAATAATCAAGATTTCAGAAATCCACCATAAGAACAGAATATTAAAAGTGGCCAGAGAAAAGAAGCAGATCACCCACAAAGGACAAATCATCAAAATAACGACAGACTTATCAACACAAACTATTAAATCAAGAAGAGCCTGGGGGGAAATAGTCCAAACCCTGAAAAAAAAATAACCTCCAACCAAGATTAATGTACCCTGAAAATCTCTCTTTCAAAATTAATGGAGAAACAAGATGTTTCCAAGACAAGGAGGAACTGTGGGAGTTCATGGCCACCAACCCAACCCTACAGAAAATACTGAAGGACGTTCTAGAGAGAGAGAGGAAAAAATACCAGGATTCCAGCAACAGTGGCAGAGAGGCCTCAATGAATGGGGCAGACAGTGGAATGAAGGAGTAAAGTGGACAAATAATAGCAGAAAAATAGAATAGCAGAGTTGAGGCAGAGAAAGTGGGCTATAATTTTTAACATAGCTTAGATACGCTAACAAAAAGAAACACATGCAGAGTAGATTAGGAGGCAGGATCCATCGAGATGCTCTGAATAGGAAATATACTCAACCTGAAAGGTTAATAAACTGAAAGTCAAAGATGAGAAAGTGACAGGGAACCAGAGAGAAATAGGGACAACTCGTCCAGCAACCACAGACAGATTGGAAAGTTATGACACTTTTGTGCAGTGTAGAACTACAAAGCTAGAAGGAAGGAAAACCTTATGGCTTTAGTAAGTAAAAGAGTACAGCTCAAGATCAAGCTCAGGGGTAAAAAGGTTCAGCACCACTCAGATAGATAATGGAACCCAAAATATACAAAGCATCCTGAGAAAGGCAAAGGTGAGAAATTGCCTAAAAAAGGCAGGCATAGGACATTGCTAATAGTGTGTCAGGATTTAAAAGCCACAATAATCTTTATCACTCTGCTTAGTTTGATTTTATTTTGTTCAGGTCAGTCTACTCATACTAGATTTGAGGGCATAGATAGCTATCCCCAAAACAGCAAGCTATACCACGGTAATTATTCTTAATTTCCTATTAACTTAAACTGAAGCCTTGTATTATTTACATTGTCTTAATATGACTGATCTTATTTGAAGCTGGTTTGTTAAACTGCTGTTTTGCCTTGACTGATCTTATTCAAATTTGGTATGCTTGATAATACTGAGTCTAAGTGTAGAGGCAACCACTCTGAAGATGACAAGATGTAATAACATACCAATTCCAGTTTATTAACTGATTTTGAAGTCCTATAATGTCTCCAAAGTTGCGTTTTTATTAAAATAGCTATGTAATGCTATGTTCAATTATTATATGTCTGATGAGGTGGACAACTCTATTCACAATAACAAGAGAAAGCATACTAACTATTGTAGATCACCTAATAATGTCGTTTTATGTCTTCTTCATTTCATTTTTTCTAAGAATTTGTTTTGTTGTCTTGTTATGATCTGTTTTTCCCTATAATACAGAAAGGATACATACATATATAGAGATTCACACATGGGGAGAATTTCTAAACAGTTTACAGGAACAGGTTATATAATGCACGATGTAACGAACAGATATTCTGAAGAAGAAGAGACACTAAGAAACCCAGTGCTAATTCTGTAACATTATGATATAAAATCTAGCAAAACTATTATTCACGTTCAGAGTGATATTAGCCTCTAGTCTCTTATGTTCAATTTCAGCGTACGTAAAGATAAGGACAGTTACTACGAAGAGAATGAGGGCTATTATGGCAGTCACTATTGACTTCCCCGCAATGTCAGGTCTTGAAGACCTAAAAAGCCTTCTTCACCCTGTTATGATCAAATTAGTTCTATAATGTTCAGTATGTATTCACTGTGTGTGAAGATGGGGATAACTATTTGGAAGAAAACTAGAGACAATAAGACAGACAGTGAAGATCTCCAGTGGACTTGCTTTGAAATCAGTGTTTCTTAAAACTGTTTCCTTATGATCTGTTTTGTTCTGTTTTGGTATGTTTAACTTACCCTCTTTAAGATATGGGAAATTTTTTGAAGATAGCAAGAGGCATTATAGTAGCCATTGTTGAACACACTGTATTTTGTTTTTTACATCATATAGTATGTCTATTCGTGTTTTAACTGACTCCATTTTGCTTTGTCACATTTAGTTTAATTCTCTTCAAACAAAGTAATAAGAACTGTAGGAGTAATAAAACCTAAAATGTGTAATTCTTATTATAAAAAAGAGTGGAAAAGAAAGTGCTCTAGGATTTCCAGGAGAACATGGCAGATAGATAACAGCAGCTATGGAGGCTCTCTGAGAAAGCCAGCTTAGAACCCAGGAATGGTGCGGTGTGAGGGGTCCTAAGCAAGGGAAGATATACCCTGCCAACCCAGGAACAAACTAAGCTGAGAGAAACCAACTGGAAATGCAATCCCAGTGCTATAACCGGAACAGATAAAATCTCAGCGCTGAAGCAGGAACCTGCACCTCTGGAAGCCGCAATTTGAATTTTCTGCTGCTGCTGCTGCTGCTGGTGCTGCTGCTGCGTCTGAATCGGCACAGCAGGGACAGAGACACGAAACCTCTGAGACTGGGAACTAGCGAACAGAGTTGAGAGTGGGACTGGCAGGGAGCCCTGCATCAACCTGCGGTGAGTAAGAGGAACAGGGACTCTTCCATAGACTAGGAGGCTTCAACAGAGGACATTGTGGGGCCAGGCAGATTAGCCGGAACAGGACACCGCAGTGACGTTAGTCACATATTCCCCTCTCAAGCAGGATTGGTAGGGAGCACTTAGCCTGAGTGACACCGCGGACTAAGATCCAGTAGGCTAGCCCAAACCAGGTCCCAGTGCCTGGCGGTGCACCATAGCAGTGAAGCCTTCAGTAGGCTGACTGACCTGGAGAGGCAGGCCCAGCAGAAGCTGCCCAGGTCTTTGTGTCCCTAGTACACTGCAGTGGACAGGAACACCTAGCCGGCACAATTCATACAAACTGTAACTGACAAAGAAAGAAACTGGGCCTCCTATATACGCTTGGATGGAAGGAAAAAAAAATATAGGAAGAGGGAGCAACAAGAAAGGGTCCTCGGCCCCCAATCTTGAGAACACTGATCCAGGAAAGGTAAATGCAAAGGAGAATGAGGACAGAAAACATACAGTATCAGGCACGGCATTAATAGACATAAAGCGTTATCTCCGGAGCATCATAGATGAGTTCAAAAGTGAAGTATTTAATGACCTAAAGCAAGATATAAGTAGAATAGTTAGAGAAATGCTAAGCACCGCCCAAAAAAAAAAAAAAACAGATGGTGAAATGGAAGAACAGAAAAGAAGGGGAGAATTGTTTGATGGAGAAAATAGAGAAAACATAGAATACATGAAGCAGTTTCAAAGAGATTACCAGGAAACTAAAAACTCTATTGAAAGCTGGCATAACAGCTTGAAAGAAACTAAGGATAGATTATCTGAACCGGAGGACAGATTTGTAATGTGGGAGCATGAAAGGAAAAACTTTTTAAAAATAACAAGAAAACAAACAGCAATAATATAAAGGCTTGAAGATGATAAGAGGATCTATAAGTTAAGAATTAAGAACATAAAAGAAGAAGTAGGGACTCAAACAAATGAACTACAAAAGCTATTCACAGAAATAATCCAGGAGAATTTCCCTAATTTAGCAAAAGGTAAAGATACTCAGATGTTTGAAGCATACAGGACCCCAGCCACCTACAACCCAAACAGAGCTACACCCAGGCATATAATAATCAAAATTCCAGAAATCCAATATAAGAACAGAATATTAAAAGCCATCAGAGACAAGAAACAGATCACTTACAAGGGAACACCCAGCAGAATTACAGCAGACTTCTTGGCACAAACCATCAAATCACAAAGAGCGTGGGGGGAAATAATTCAAGCTTTGAAAGATAATAACCTCCAGCCAAGATTGATATATCCTGCACAACTATCCCTAGAAATTGATGGAAAAACAAGGTGCTTCCAGGATAAAGAGGAACTAGGGGAATATGCAACCACCAATTCAACTCTACAGAGATTACTGCAGGATATTCTAAGAAAAGAAAAATACCAAGATTCCAGAAACAGTGGCAGAGAGGCCACATAAAAGGAGCAGAAAGCAAAATGAAGGAGACAAACTGACAACTAATGACAGAAAAAGAGCACAACAGAAATGAGGCAGAGAAGGTTGGATGGTAGGAACAGCTATTTTGGAGAAAACAAGACATCATAATAGCTAGTGCTGATTTAATATCATCTTGCTTTGAAGTCCCATCAAGCTTTTGTTCTTCTGTCTCCATCAGTCTTAACATTTTGCATCTTATTGGATTTTATTATATGTGATAATATAAACAAAAACTTTTATAGACAAGGAGATTATACAGAAACTATTGTTCATTTTCTGTTAGTTGGTTCTAAATACCCTGTAATACTGTCATTCTCTTAAATGGTTTTACATTGTCTTGATATTTTTGATGCTACAGTATATGAAGTTATACTCAAAGATTTCAAGGAAAGAGACATTATGGTAACTACTTTTATGTCGGGATATCTGGTGGTGAAACACTATTTTGCTTAAATGGTTATGTTCTGACCTGTGCTGTTTTGTTGTTATGTCCTCTTTTATCTCAATCTCCTTTTTTTATTATTTACTTTTTTATTTTTATCTTTGTAATTAAGTTAAAAATTAAAAAATAGGATATATTATAGTAATCCACTTTGATCTCCTATTAACTTGATTTGAAACCCTGTATTGCTCTCACCATCTTGTTTTGACTGATTTTACTCTATTCTGTCTTGCTTGATATTACCAAGTTCGAGAGTATAGGCAACAACTGTGAAGACAGTAAGATTCATTATGACGCCCATTCTGGTTTGACAATTATCTTCTTTTGAAGTCCTGTAATGTCTCCAATATTTTGGTTTTATTGGTTTTGTTCTTTACTGTTTTGTTCAATTTTATTATAACTGATGATATAGGCAGTTCTTTTTAAGATAGCAAGAGGCATTAAGGTAACCAATGTAGATCACTTTGTATTTTGTTTTTACAGTTTGTATTATGTCCATCCTTTTGATTTGACTGACTCTGTCCTATTACGTCACATTTGGTTTTATTCTCTTCAAAAAAAAGTAATAAGAACTGTGGGAGTAATAAAACCCAAAATGTGTAATTGTCATTGTACGAAAGTGAGGAAAAGAAAGTGCTCTAAAGGATATAACTGCATGTATATTTAAGTATATATGATAGATAACCATATTACTGAGTTTTGTTGGATCATTGAACAGAACTGTTTGCAGTCTCACTGTTTGAATGTCCACTTTGTATACCTTGATTTTGTAATTTGAACAGCTATTTCTAAGATAACAATATGTAATCTGTTAGCTAGTGATTTCCTACTGTTTATTTTTTCTGAGATTCTGTATAACTTGTACCCTTTTTCTGTTTTTTTTTCCTCCTTAAATAAAATTTAAAAAAAAAAGTGCTCTAAAGGATATAACCGCATGTATGTTTAAGTGTGTAAAAACAGGTAACCATATTACTAAGCTTTTTTGGGTCATTGAACAAAACTGTTTGCAGTCTCACTGTTTAAATGTCCACTTTGTATGCTTTAATTTTGTAACTTGAACAGCGACTTCTAGATGACAATATGTAGTGATTTCTTACTATCTGTTTTTGAAATTCTGTATTACTTCTACCCTTTTTTCTGTTTTGCTTTTTTTTTCTCTTTAAATAAAATCCTTTAAAAAAAAAAAAAAGAAAGAAAGAAAAGAAATACCAATAGGATAAAGGGGAAAGTTTCCTGACCCCCAAGAAGAGCCTTTGATTACATGCTTAATCATAGGGAGCTGAGATACCTGTAACCATCTGGTCCCCTAACCCAAGTTCAGGGGAGGAAGTTGAGAGAGGAGGCTAGACATCCTGAGCATATTCCCTTGAGCCCTCCAGAGTTGCAAGTGGTCCTAGTGAGCCTGGCAGAAAGCCAGCAGCCCAGGCCAGCAGCTGCTACCACAGCATGCAGGGCAAGGACATTCTCAGAGGCTGTTGGCATCACCCCCTGTGAATACCATGCTGGACATAGAGCTGAGGTCTCCAGAGTCTGAGAAAAGCACAAGGCAGTAACAGCCCCTTCTCTGTGTCATCGTTTCATAGACACCTGGTGGTCTGGAGTTCCTCATTCACTGCTGAGACCTTGCCTTGGTAAATCCTCCAACTGACGAGCCTCAGGGACCTCCACCAAAATCTCTGTATGCCAAATACAGGAACAGAATGCCTCCCACCAATTCTAAACTACCCCTGTTGAACAATAACCTGGGTCCCTCCTTTCATACTCTGCCATCCTTTAAAGCCAAATCTGCAGCCTTGGGACCCACCAGACTGGTGTCTATAGGAACTATACACACACACAGGTTTCCAGAGCCACCATGATAGCAGAGCCTCGTGAAGGGGACCTTTCTCTTTTGTTCACCTGAGTCTGAGGTCATCGTCTTCGCCTCCCCATCCCCAGTAGTTGTTAGAGAATCCATTCACCTTGAAAAATTGCTCTCTGCTTAGGGCAGTAACACCCCCAAAATATCCACTGTAACGTAACCTACAGCAAAAGAGAAAAGACAAAAGGGAAGAACGTTAGCATTTTCTTCTCTGTATATTCTTCAGAGGTCCCTGATTTCAGGGAAGACAATCTAGAACAATCAGTAGAACCATGACTCCCATACACCCACTGCTGCCTGACACCTACCTCCCAGCACCCCTGATCTTTTATCTGGCCTTTGTTCCTCTGTCCAGGCCATGCTCACCTCTGCTCACCAGGTACATTGTCACCCAGGTGGTAGTAGTAATGTTGGTGTACAGAGGGCTGCAGAAATACCTGCAAATGTGCACCACAGTATCAAACCGAGATGACTGATTTCAACTTATGTACCAATCCAGAGAATGGTAACAGTTGCCAGGAGTGCCAGGCTCAGAAGGCTCTAGAACTTGCATCCAGATTCAGCAGGAATGAATGGCACAATGAACACACTCTCCCTTGACTTTTAGTCTCTATGGAGAGGAGGGACGAGAAGAGCAGAAAGCTCCTATGTATGCGCTGTAGGTACACACACTGCAAAGTAAGAGTCAGGTTCCTAGAAAACTCAACGTATCAACCACCACCTCTGAGGTTTATGGCTTGGGCAATTAGCTAGACAATAGTGCCTTTTATGAAAATAGGGCATATAGAATAATAATTTGGTTTTGAAAGAAAAACAGAAAACTATGTTTGGATAAGTTCAATTTGAGATTCCCCTAGGGCTTTCCCAGTAGGAAAACAATGCAGAGAAGTTCCTAAGAGTGGCTAGAGACAATGCTTTGGAAGTAAGCCAGTAGCAGACTGTACTTGGACACAGGGGAATAGAAGTCATCCAAAAACAATCTGACGTATGAGAAGAGCTCAAAGGTAGAACCATGGGGTTAAGGTCTGCAGAGTCAGTGGGAATAACAGGGAAAGAGAAAAAATGACCAAGAAAAATTTGAGGTGTTAACAGCCCAATATGACTCTTATGTGATATCAGGTACAAATGAACAAATCTGAGTAATAAAGATAACCCTTAAACACAACTTGGTAACAAGTCAGACATGCGAACGAAGACAGGTTCACGACTTTAATGTTACAGAATAGAGGATGTGAATAATTAGGATCTCTAATTTTAATTGAATGTAGTTCAACGTTTTTCAGGACCAAGTACATACTGCTGTTTCTCCAGATCAGAAGAAATGTGAAAAGGAAAGATCAATAAACATGTAGACCCCTGTCATCTAATGAGTAACATCCAAAAATCTTACTGATAGCTCAGCTGCTTCTTTCTATGTTCTGAGTACAGACCGGAGACCCTTTTGCTCTCTGCTTAGGGCAGTAATCAAAGCAGAACCTGAAATAAAGGCAGATTTAGTTATATACCCTTAACCTATTCTGCTTCATCGGGGAAATGACATTTTTGTAATTTAAAACAAAGGGAAATAAAGTACTTTGAAGGCGGCTATTACCTACCAAGGCATCTCGTAGGAGTAACTTACATCCACTGTCATCAGACTCTGAGTGCGAAAGGTCCTTAACTCTCCAAGACAGCAGCTTCACCAGGATCCCACATGTAGAACCGCTACCCAAACATAACCTGCCAAGCACCAAGCAACAGGCTCTCTACCCTACCGGTGCGTGGGTAGGATCCACTGCTCCCACCATCTGCACGCACAAGACCTCTGGCTCTATGACAAATGGTCCCTGGTCTCCAGGAGTTCATGATCCAACAAGACAGGTTAGCTTCCCCGGGGGTCTGAAAAAGGAGTTGCCACTATAATGTGAATGGAAGGATTCAGAGAGGCAGAAAAATCTCCTGGTGGTCAAGACTGGTGATAAAAAGCACAGGGCTGTGTGCGGATCACTGGAGACATTTTGCTGGAGTGGGGAAGAGCAGGAGACAAGTCCGGGGACCTAACAGTTAAGGAACTCTTGTTTCCCAGTTGCCTGGTACGTGGCAGCTGTCTCCACATTTATTGACTATCTTTGCTTTCAGGTTTTGTACCTATCTAGAAAAGTACAAATATTTAATTGGCCCTGCATCTGGCTTACGTATTTTTAAAGGCCAATGGGCCTGGGGCAAGGTAGTTATAAAATAACAGGAGCATCTTGTGAAGAGCAGGTGGTGCCAAAGGAACACAAATAAAACTTCCACAGGCTTATCCTGAGCTTTGCCACTGACCCACGGTCGGCAATAATCAAGATTTACTTCTTTTGTCAGACCCTGGACACACGTGGCACATTACTTTAACCTCTTTGCTCTGCATACGTGGCAAGTGAAGACCTTTCTTGCACTTACATTCACCAACTGCTGTGATGGTAGTGAGGCCCGGCCCCATGGTAGGACAGTGCCAGTTACCAGCAGGGGACAGACACTTCGTTGCCTGTAGCTGAACTTGCCAGTCATGGGCAACATTCTGCCTGCTGTGACAAAGAAAGTAAAAAGGGAGGAGGGCACTACTTTCCATAACTCTCCCCAGCCACAAAAGCTGATGCAGTTTAATGACACATACTGGAAAATAGATCAGTATAAACGGCAAACAAGAACCAGAGAAAATCTAAATCAGAACAGAAGAAGAAGGCAGAAAACACAGCGGCACTCTGATCTGCTAATAAACTTCTTTTCACTTTTTAGAGAGGGCCATGGTTTGTCTCAGGGCCTCTTGGATCCAGATTGGAAAGCGAGACACAATCAATCAGCCCATTCACATTAAGAAAACCTGTCAGTTACTTCTGATATCTTGTTGTAAAAGAAATGGAAGACCAGTTATCTTGCAAGTTAAAACAGCAAGATTCGTGCAAGGACTATTTGTTTAGATGGTATGGCATCCATAAAGGTGATAGCAAAGGGTAAGTTAAAATCACTTCTCAACAGGAAAGCCCAAGAACACAACTTTCTCATCTTCAGTTGAGATACAATACAAAGATACTGTGATGACTTGTACTTAGATGTCCCCACAAAGCCTCATACAGTCATAGGTGAGGAGTGAAGGTGGTCGGTTTACAGTGTGTGAATGTGGATTCCAGTAGAGAGCAGCGGAAACTGGACGCTGACCCCATGGGCTGGTAGGAGAACAATGAGCACCCCTGGCAAACAAGCTGCTCCATCCCAGAGAACACCAAGCCCCAAGACAATCCAAGCAATGGGTTGCTAGGCAAAGGAGTGTCACGTGACTTTACCTTGCTAAATGTGTAAATGCCTCTGCAGGGATGGAGCAATTCCCTCCTTCAGGAGAGAAGGCTCCACCTGACCCCAGCTTTCATCTCTTTTCTCTATTTTCCCATCCTCTCACTGTCCTTCCCCCAGGAACATCTAGAGCAGCTGCCGGATGCTACAGATTAAGGGTGTGATACTGGGATTAAGGGGGCAGATAATGGAAGTCCCCCCTGCCCCAGTACCAGTGGCACTCATCAATAGCCTTGTAGCCTGCATGGAATTTAAGTGAGAAGATGGAAGGCAGGCTTGGAGCTGCTGCTTGCTGCACCCACTACTTTGCTTTCTCTTGACTACTTTGCCATGGACTATTTCTCCTCTGCCATGCTGTGTTGCCTTGGAACCAGCCAACGATGGACCAAATCCTCTGCAAACTGTGAGCTGAAGGAAACTTTTCCACCCTTAACATATAGGTGCCTGGTACTGTGAAAAATAACTAAAACAGATACAATCTAGAATCCCAGCCCAAGGCCTTTCATTGAACAATCATGTATGATTGTACAGAAAGTACTGGACAATGTTAAGCTTAAAGTTATCCCTGGAAAGTGGCTGAAGAACAGATGCTGTAAGATGTTTTATAAATTTCACACAATCAATGAGCAGATGGTGACATGCCTCTGAGAAAGCCAAGGTGCTTGGCCATGGCACGCTGTCTTCTCCAGTGCAGAGGAGACTAAAAGAAACCAGAAAACCAAACTGCTAGATAGTATGATTCAAGCCAAAAATCAATTTCCCCCAAAGAGAAACACTTTGTGAATTCCTCCCTGTCCTCCAGCCCCATAGCTCCTGCCCTAACTCAGGCATGTAGCATCTATCCCCCCCAGCCGCAGCCCAATTTGCTCCACCCAATTCTGCACAGACTAGCTGAACTGAACTGCCTCCTGTCACTCCCCAGATGGAACCCTGTGACAACAGCTCCCCATCCCCTTCCACAGGAAATCCAAACTTCTTATCAGACCAAGCACAGCCTCATCATTTGCTTCTCCCAACATCCTCTCTAGGATACCAAGGAATCAGCTTGGGGCTGTGTCTTTTACACATCTGGAAGTCTGCTGGGAAGTCCGCTGGAAATCCCACAGACTCCACCAGATTAAGGGGCCAAGCTCCCTAGGAACAACTTCAAACACTTCCCTAGGTGCTCTTAAAGACTACACCCTCACTCACCACAGCTCAGGCTAGGTACCGTAGTTGTTTCTGTCCTGCTGACATAGAGAATGGGTTCCAAGTCCATACCCAAGGCAAAAGTCAAGAACTCTCTTAAATAGTCCCAGCGTGAGAGAACTATACACTGAAAGAGGGATACAGAAGCCAGGACCAAGCAAGGCATGAAGAAAGTCAGTTTTCATTGCATACTGACTCAGATTACACATGATGGAACATATGTATTATGCTGTAGTCTTACAGATTTCCCTCAAACTCTCCCATACACCTGCTCCATCTCTCCATCTGTCCCCCTTTCTCCTTCCCTCCGTACTAAGTGCTTGTGGTTTTATTTGCAGAGGTACAATGTGACTGTACCTCCACTGTAGCTGTTTATCAGGTACTCTGCCTGTTCACACTTGTCCCGTGGCCCAAGCCTAGTGAGCATCAGTTACCAGCGCATTGTAGAGCTGGGGCAGAGCTGGCAGACATGTGTGCACACAGAGGCAAACACAGTGTCATTTACAGGGACATTTTCTTGGCCACCATTTGCCCTCAATTATACTAAAATAGGAGCTGGTAGAAGATAGGGTTGAAAAGCATTGATCTCCTGGGTACAGAGGCAGGGAGCCCGGGGGGATGGTGCTACCTAGCACTTCCCATGGTGGCTGTGAGAGAAAACAACTTGTCCTGGGTGTCCTGACTGTCAGACCCTATTTCAACAGTGACACCCTTCTTTGTCACTTCAGAACTCTGGAAAAAGAACTCTGCAGTTTGGGAAGAAAGAGGTGATAGCTCTGAAAGATAGCCTAAAGGACATCATTTTATTGCCTACTAGAGAGGGACAAACAAACATGTCGGGCAGATTGTCCTCAGGTGAGAGCTTGCACAGGCCCCCAGACATGGGCGCTGCAGGGTGAGCCGGCCACCATTCGCAATGCTGATTATTTTCTGTCCTGTGTTCTTTTCCTTGTGTGATTCTCTGTCAAGATTGTTATAAGACTTTTCTTCCACATTACATTTTCTTATTTCTGTTTTGCATTTTAAGAAAGCAATGGAACGTTTCCTCCTACTTCTCATTCTCCTATGACAATCTAGACACCTTGTTCCACACAGTTTGGGTCACCGCAGGCCACGCGTCTGAGCTGCCATACCTGTACCCTGTGCTGTTCCTGCCAACCACCAGGTGTTTGGGCTGGTCCTCACACATGTAAAGGTTGAAGTCATTCTCAGGCACCAGGTCCACGTCGTGGAATATAAAGCAGTCCCAATTCTTTTCCCTGAGAGCTTCGAGATAGCCCACATTCAAGAGTTTGGCTCGATTAAACTTTTTAGCTCCAGCCTATAAATAACAGAAATTAAACCATGAAGAGACTCCATGCTAAGCTGTTCTGCCATTGGGCTCCAACTAAGGAGCTGCTATTATTCATGTTAATGCACTTAAGATCTGACAGAAGAAACAGGAAGATGATAAAAGACCTTTTTTCTTTATCTTTCATACATATTTACAGTCTGTATCTTTAAAAGATTCTATTCAGCCTGGAGAGTTGTTTTAGAGTACAGAATTTCAGAACAGCAAGAATAAAAAATTCTGAAGGCTAGCTGCATAATCTTCTTAACACTACTGTGAATATTCTTAACACTACTGATAAAACACTTAGACATGGCTAAGATGGTACAAACAAATAAAAATGAAAAAAAACCCTGATATGGTAAATTTTATGTTGTGCATATTTTGCCACAGTTAAAAATGTTTAGCCGGTGCTGGGGACACAGCATGGTGGCACAGCACCTGCTTGGCAAGGGTGAGGTCCTGAGTTGGATTCCTGGTACAAAAAAAAAAAAGCAAAGGAAAAATGTTTAGCCAGGCATGGTAGCACACACCTATAAAACCAATACTCTGAGGGCCTAAGGCAGGATTACAAAGGTCAAGCCAAACCTCATTAATTTAATGACATTGTGAGATCTTATCTCAAAAACCAGAAAAGAAAAAGGCAGAGGATGTAGCTCAGTGTGAGGCCCCAGGTTGATTCAGTGCCAAAAAATAAATAAATAAAACAAACTCTATCAATAACAATGTATTACACACTTAAATTATATTACGATATATCTCATGTGACATGTTCTCACCACAATGAAATTTTTTAAAAACTCAAAATTTTAAAATATATCTTTATTTATTCCATGTAAAACTATAAAACCTCTCAGTCAACTAGTGCTACTGCTTCTCTGTAAGCATTCACATTCTATAACAACTTGACACTGAGTTTCAAAGAGATTTAACTAATAGTAAGGGTCAAGAAACTTTGATCTCCAACCAGAGAGTAGTATTGTGAATATCTCTAAGCTACTTCAAAGTTTCCTGGAAATCCCTGTATAAAAATTTTGTTACAACACTCCTGGTAGAAGCTAATCCTTACAGTGTGCCCGTGGATGGTGATTTGTCCCTGGGTAAGGAAAGGACACAATTCGACTTGTAATATGACCAAAGCTATAGTGTGCAAAAGATTTTACAGTACTCATTGTTTTCATGACTAGTTGGATCAAATTTCATAAGAGTAAATTCCAATTTAATGAACAGTTTATCGTATGAAAGGGCAAGCAGTTCTCAGATGTATCCACGGTTTTCCTGAAATCAGTAACATAAAAAAAAGTATGCTTCCATTCATAAAAATGGTCCTATGCCTTGAGGGTTTCCATCTAAAGTAAGAATCCAGAACCAAATACATTACAGCTGTGATCAATGATGTTAAAAATAACGATGAAACAAAATTATCATAAAATTTGGCTTCAAGAAATGAGCAAAGGTATATTAAATAAGCACAATGATTTTCAAGAGCCTCAGCTTACCATCAAGGCAGCAAAAGTTGACAAGTTTTTCTAAACAAATATAACTGGCTATAACCAATAGTAAGTAGTGAATGATTTTGTTTGCGTCCTTAGAATTTGTAAACATTTGAGGGTACATTATTTGAGGGCCCAGAGTGATTCTAGCAAGCTTAGTCATGGATTATTTAAATGGATGTCTTGTTTTTCTTTTGATAAATTTTAATACCAAATACAGTCATCATTAATCACCCACTCCACTGACCTTAGAAACTAAACTCTCCAAAAGCAGCCTACAGTTACATAGTGTTCCTGCTTATACTTCTGGAAACCAAGTAAATGAATCAAGAAAGTGAAAATTAAATACAGTACAGCTGATCTAATTAGCAGCAAAATTAAATGCAGAAATGTGAAGAGTCTCAGAACCCAATGGCTGCTAACACTCAGTACTCTGCCAAATCCTGTCTAGATCTCCACTGAATAGTTACACTCAACAATGAATCAAGTCCAATGGTTCATCTCCAGTGCATAGTAAATAGAGAAGAAAACACCAAGAGTACAGAAGATCTGGGGGCAGTCTTAGGGCAGGCACTAGCTAACAAGAAGGGCTTCAAAACCACATTTCTCCCTGGGGCTCATGTTTGTGTAGTAAAATTTCTCAGAATGTGGTCCCATTATGCTATACTCTGGGATACAGTTCCCTCTGTTCCTTCCAAGGATAAGGAAGCTTAACAGAACTCTTTAGACAAGGGGTCACGTGACCCAGTCCCTCAGAGGGAAGAGCTGAGCAGGGCTCCGGGCGCCCTGTACTCACCTGATGGATGACATAGATGCCATACTCCAGCTGCTGCCTCTGCAGGAAGGGGTGCAGATGTTCCAGCAGGTACATCAGGTGTTTCTCTCTGTTCCGGTGGGGGATGAGGATGGCGACCCGCTGCAAAGCCTTACATTCCTCAGGGTGATACTGGCCTCTGGACACCTTGGGATTTTTTGCTTGGACTTCTTCCAGTGTGAGGTCTGGTTTGAAAACAAGCTTGCTCTGGCCCCCTACAATAAACACAGGGAGCAAGCCAAAAGACAAACAGTTACATTAAAGGCTAAGAGGCTAACGTGAGCTACTACAGGTGAAGGAAGCAGTGAGTGAGCACACAGGAGGGGCAGCTCCTATTTCTATTAAAGTGTCATTTAGTCATGCATTGTACTTTAGCCACAGAATTCAAGTGACAAAGATTATCATGGCAAAAGTAAATAACTTGTGACTGAGAAATCTTGGCTCCAAGGCCCATCCATGGGTAAGAAATACAGCCTGTTCTGGTGACCCTGGAGCCCAACAGAGATCAGCCCTAGACCAAGACTCCCCTCAAATCTGCTCTAGCCTCTTTTCCTTCTCAAAATCCCAGAATAGGGTATAATCTCTTAAAAATCAAGAGCATTCATGGAATCAAGCTACTGAACAAGGCCCTGAAGGCAAAGTATGAGATGGAAGCAGAGGTAAAAGCAACCCCCCGCTGGCAGCGACATACAGGACCACACGTCTCCCACTGAGTCACTATCAGACTCTTCCAGATAAAGCATTCGTTCAGTGAGCCTAAAAGTGGCCTGATGACAGGAAACCTAAGGCCACCATGGAATGGAACCCTAGGCAAGGCTTTAAATCTATTGAATATTGGGCTGATGCAACTGGTCCTTCTCTTTCGGAGTTTCAGGGTTTTGTTTGGTCTTGTTTTTGTTTTTATTTGTTTGTTTGTTGGTACCAGGGATCAAACTCATGACCTCACACTTGCCAGGCAAGCACCTGTACCACTGAGCAACAACCCCAGCCCCCGGCCCTTCTCTGTTGATGCAAATGAATGGGATGTGATGATGAAAGAGGAGAGGAGTTCAGTTAGGAAACAGCTATGTTTCCCACACACGTTTTTCTCTTTTTATCTCTACATCTATTGGTCAAACTGTAAAACTTTAAGCGGATGCAAGTTGTGTTCTCCCATTCCAAGCAAAGCAGTCACTGGCCTTCCCATAGATAAATCACTGTTTCTTGCTACCTGTGACAATCCCTAACCTACATCAGGCTCAGCACTCAGCAGCACCACAAGTAAGTAACTGTGTCCAGCAACCCACGAGACAGCCAGGCTACAAGAACCAGCCTGAAAGTCTGTATGCAAGACATAAAACCAGCAGTCAAACCCTGAGAACAAACGAGAGGAATCAGAGTTACATGGAAGAAGCACCACAAGAGCTGCTGCCAAGGGATGAGGGCAGCCATGAAGATGGTTTCCAGTGTGGCCAGGTCATAAAATCCATTAGCCTCATTATGTCATCAATGGCCCATCTTAACTATCACTACTTATGTCACGCTCTTAATTCAGTGTGTGCTCAGAATTGGTCACTGTCCATGCATTCCATAGTCTGTTGTATGTGTATCTGTATGTGTGCATGCATGGGAAGGGGTGCAAAGGATTGAACCCAGGGCCTTTTCACTGAAGTATATTTCCAGTCCTCCCCATTCACACTTTTTTTTTTTGAAGATAAAACCCTGCTAAATCACTAATTTGCCTCTGTTGGGCTCAAATTTGCAATCCTCCTGATGCAGCTTCCCAGAATGCTGGGATTGCAGGCATGTGCTACCACACCCACTTCCATGTACACCCTATGGAAGAATTTACTGCTTAAATATATCGTGAAGATTTTGAACGGGGGAGGGAGGAGTCATGTAATCAGTTTACATAAAATCTTGTATAATTTGTGAGTGGAATATGCACTTAAGAATAATGCTTTAGCTCTTTCATGTCAAGAGGAATACAGAACAAGACTGTGATTCATTTGGAAAGGAAGATAAAAGGCCTGTGTCACCCTCAGTTCACATGTTGAATTTCTGGTCCCCAGTGTGATGGTGTTTGGAAGTGCAGTCCTTGCCAGGCGATTAGATTAAGGTCATCAGTGTGGAGCCTACTTGTTGGGATTAATATTCTTATAAAAAAAACTAAGACACACAAAATCTCAATCTCAATCAGTGTGTGTGTGTGTGTGTGTGTGTGTGTGTGTGTGTACGCATGTGCATGTGCATGCATGTGCACACCAAGGAAAGGCCATATGAAGACATTACCACCTAGAAGCCCTCCCAAGAGCCAAACCATGCTTCACCCCAATCCTAGCCTTGTAGAAGCCTCCAGAATCTAAGCAGCAACCCAAGTGCACTAAGATGGAGCATCTGCAACCAGTACCCTCCGTGTATGAGGCCACAGCTGCTGGCCAGGGAGGAACATGCAGGGCACATCTGGGAAGCACCATGCACACGGCTCGTCCAGTGTTTCCTGGGGAAGAAAGGCAAACATGAGCCATGCACTGTTACCTGGGCACAGCAAGAGGGGCGCTGACAGGGGAGTCAGGATGAACCTACACAGCAGTCCCAGAAACCCCCACGAGAAATCTAAGCTACATTTTTGATGACAAAACACAAAGGCACTAGGCAGACATGGATTGAGGAGGAACATTCTGAAAAGAGGGGTCAGTACGAGTCAGGCTCAAGAAGGACATGGAGAACAAGTGCCCCGATGTTCCAGAGAGGGAAGACACGAGAAATAGCAGAATGAGGTATTTTCCTCCCAAATGTATTGCGTTCACTAATAGCAATGAATATGAATTAAAATTGAAAGACATCAAAGGGGAAATCAAAACATGGGATTTTAAGAACAAATACTAAAGACATTTAAAAATTTAGCCACTGCCTCCAATACCACACTTTTGGGCAAGAAGATGCTGGCAACCTGTCTGCGCTAGCCTTTCTCCACCTGCCAAGTTGTGAGAAAGCAAGCCCGCTGGTCCTAGGACACAGAGACATGTGAAACAGAGCCACAGCCCTAAATCAATGGGCCCTAGTGTTGAATGTTGCTGGGATGTTAGTGACCAGCTAATAAAAGTGGGTGTGTTTACACAGTGGTATAGCACATTTCAGTAAGACTAAACAAAGTAAAATCACACTGAAGAGATATAATGAGAATAACGTTTAACAACGGAAGCCAAGCACACGGGACCAAAATGTATATTTTTAGTTTATAAGGATCAAAACCAGGAGAAATGTAGCTGGTCATGATGGCACATGCCTATAATCCCAGGCTGAGGCAGGAGGATCTCCAGGTCAAGCCTAGCCTGGACAACTCAGTGATTTAGCAAGATCCTATCTTCAATTAAAAAAATTTTTTTTAAAGGCTGAGGAAATAGCTAAGTGCAGAAGCCCTGAGTTCAATCCCTAGTACCACCAAGAATAGGAAAGAATCTAATGGACCATGGTAAAATCTTGAAGCCTCAGTAGTGACTGAAAGCAAAATGGGGATTAAAGGCATTCTAGTAAGATTCGCTTTCTTAATTTACATGCTGGTTGCCCAGACGTATGCAATTCAGATCTTGGTACCTATGTTAAATAAAGGTTTACATAATATTTTTGAAAGATTAAAAAAAAAGAAAGAACACTTACTGAGGTTTGGAGGCACCAAAGGGCAATTGCCAAGCTCCGCTTTTTTCCTGGATGCTTCACTGGCAAGTGCTTCCTTTTCCTCCAAATCTACAGCTTGATTGAAATCAACCACGAAGATCTTTGCTTTGGGAATCTCTTGAATAACACTCACGAAGTAGTTACTGGTGGCCCACCCAAGCACGGTCAGGCACAAGGTGAAAAGCACCAGTAAGCGGAACTTGTAGGAAAGGTGAAAAGGCAGGCTGAAGCCCATGTCTTTCATTTTCTAACGTGTCTCTCTGCTTCCGTGCAGGCAAGGAGGCTTCAAATTAAACTTTACCCATCCAACTGCAAACTTGCTGACACGTGAAGGTGCAACGCCTGCTTTTGTTCCGTGGTTCTGCTCCAACACTCTCTAAAAGGCAATCACAAAAGACATGTTTGGAATGAAAATTCTAGCTGGAACTGAGTCACTTCAGTGCAAACTGAAAACCTTCACTGGAAGGAATGATAGTTCTCCCACTCCCGCTGCAGAAATCAGAAACCAGACATGTTACCCACTCCTGACCACCTACGCATCACGGCAGCTCTGGCTGGATGGCGGAAGCTACTTCCAGAACAAAATAGCAAGAGAGATGGGTAATGAGAAACACCTTTCATTTCTGAGCTGGGCACAGCCCAGACTGCAGCCCCAAAGAGTCTTCCTTAGTGTTTCTTCCTGAGCAGCCTGAAGAGAAAGTCAACAAAATGCAACCCTTGTTCAAAAGCATATTTGGATCTACAAAGAAAATTAGGGAAAAGATCAAAGCTCTTCTCATCATAAGTGCTAGAAAAACACGGTCCTTGACACCCAGGAATGAGTGATATTCCTGATGGGCACTGCCACAGGGGACATCCCTAGCATTGACAGGGTAGAGGGAAGACAAGCAACATAAGGCCATCTCAACAGAGCAGGTCAACAATCTATACGAAATATGGAACTACAGAACTGTGTTTAAGATCCGGTGTTCATATTACATGGAAAATATAATTGTACCACGTAACTTCTGGCTATCACTTAAGTGAGCCTGAGCCTCCTTACCTATAAAATGGGGACAAAAACAGTCTCTACTTGAAGAAGTCACTGTGGGACTGGTCTCATGTACTGACATATAAAGAGTGGGCCCTCCTCCTGACACACAGCACATACCCGCTGCATGGGGACCATCACTGTGCCTGCTTACTTTACCATAAAGAGCAGAGTCGAGGGATGGCCACACTACTGGCTTCCTGGACCACAACTGTACTGGGCTGTTTGACAATGTCAGCTGATGAACTGCCATTCTGATTTTGTGCTTCAATAGCACACGAATTCACCTCTACTATGAAGTGCCTATGCCATTACTTACTGCCACTGCTTAAAGAAAAAATCCAGTTTTAAAGGTCACCTGCATGAGGTTCACCGAGATCACAGTAAATGCATTGCATGAAGGCCACTTGGCGAGGCCTCTAGGCCATGGCCAGCAACATCTTGACCATCCCTCTGTATCAGCAAAGCCACGCAGCCCCTCACATTCTACACATGTATCAGAAAAACACAGAAAATGCTAATGCCAGGGCTCAGATACTTTTCCATAGTTAACTATATCATCATTTAAATGAGTAAAATGGGGACCAAAATATATTCTGTGCTAAGTAATAACATGCAAATACTTATGATTATAACTTAAGTGAGGAAAAATGAAGTAAACTAGATATGCTATAATTACTATTAAAAATATAGAATTAAGAAAAATCTAGAAAGAATATACTAATCTACCCAAAAGTGGACAATAATTGTAAGTATGTTATTGTTTTTTCCATTGCTGGGCATGGTGGCGCATGCCTGTAATTCCAGCATTCAGGAGGCTGAGGCAAGAGGATCGTTGGGAGCTCCAGACCAGCCTGGGCTACAAACTGAGCTCAGGGCCAGCCTGAACCGCATAGAGACACCCTGTCTCAAAAAGACAAAAAAAAAAAAAAAAAAAAGGTGTTCTCTCCTTTTTTCTTTTCCTTGAAGCAGGGTCTTATCAATGTTACCTAGGCTCAAGCAATCATCCCACAACTAGGACGCCAGGCAGGTGCTCCAGTGCCCAGTTCTTTACAGATTTTAATAATATAGTTTTATATTCTAGGTAGACACTTTTATATTGCTGTGAGTTACATGTGGCTTATTCCCCAAAAAGTTCACAAGGTGGAAACAGTCCCCAGTGTGGTAATATCAAGAGACGGTGACAGCCTCATGACGTCAAGACTGGCCAGAACTGCTCAGAGCATCAGGAAGGAGCTCAGGCAGTTTTTGCAGGATTGTGAGCTAGTTCTTAACAGAGGGTGGTTATAAAACAGCAGGCCCGGGGCTGGCATGGATGCTGAGGTGGGGCTCTGGCCCAGCAAGCAGCAGCACCAGACAAAGGAAAGGGAGTGGGCGGGCTGCTCCTCACCTCCAGCTTATGCCCTGCTGTGGGAATCTGTCCTCCCACACACGTGCCACCACTTAAGGCCACCGGCCACGCAGCCCTCACCAGAGCCACACCAATGCCAGCAGCAGTAACCTTAGTTTCCTTGAACCACCAGAACAGTGAGCTACATAAATCTCTGCTCTTTCTAAAATACTTCATAAAATACAGGTATTTTGTTATTGCAACAGTAAAGAAACTAGTACGCATATAGCTTTAAATTATGATACATAGATAGTTTTAAAAATAGTTCTTTTATAATGAAAATAAAGGGTTTTTTTAAGTGAGAAGTGGGGAGATGGTAACTATAAAAAGCAAAAGCAATCTTGCCAGGTACGGTGGCCCACGCCTATAATCCCAGCACTCAGAAGACTGAGGCAGGAGAATCAATGCAAGTTTGAGGCCAGCCTGGGTACTAAGTAAGTTCAAGGCCAGCCGAACTGCACAGGGAAACCCAGTCTCAAAAGAGCAACAGAAGTTTTACACTTAGTAAAGGGTAGTATTTCAAAAATTTACTTGTAGGTTACTTTGAAGGAAACCTGGAGAACACCTCTAAATGAAACATTATCAGCAGACATGGAGATTAGGCTTTGGGTCAAACCACAAAAAAGAATACACAAAAGGCAATTATTTAAGCTGGGCAGCGCATGTTTTGGGCCCCATGCGATGGCAGCATCGCAGCAAGTCAATGGAGACAGCAGCAGCAACACCTAACGAGAGCATTCACTCTGTGCCATGCACTGGGTTACGTCACTTATGTTAACTTGCTGAACCCTCTTCTGCACTGCTTCCAGGAGTTTCTAGGACTGCAGAATTCATCCCAACTCCCCTGCCTGCAGCATCCCTCTTGCTGTACTCAGGCAACAGTGCATGGCTCATGTTTGCCTTTCCTCCCCACGAGAAGCCATGAGCATGGTGCTTCCCAGATGTGCCCTGCACACCCCTCCCTGGCCAGCAGCTATGGCCCCATACACGAAGGGTGCTGGCTGCAGGGTGACCCTGGGCTCCTGCTGGGCTGCAGATGCTCCATTCTAGTGCACTTGGGCTGCTACATAAATTCTGAGGTTTCTGCAAGCCAAGATCGGGGTGAAGCATGGTTTGGCTCTGGGGAGGGCCTCTCATATGGCCTCATATGGCCTCTCCTTGGTTGAGGCCTATGGTTCTCATATGGCCTCTCCTTGGCATGCACACGCATGCACGCACTGATTGAGATCCAAGATTCTGTATGTCTTGGTCTTTTTACAAGAATATTAATCCGAACAAGGAAGTTCCACACTGAGAACCTTAATCTAACTCCCTGCCAAAGACCTCACCTCCAAATACCATCACACTAGGGACCAGAGAGAGGTTCAACACGTGAACTGAGCGGGACACAGGCATTCAGTTCTCCATGAGGTAAGAATTTTCGTCTCCTTGACTATTATTAGATAAGAGGAAGAGAACAGGATAGGGGGAGTGGGGAGTTTGAGGAGGTCATTTCAGGGATGGATATATCTAAAAATCTCTTCGAAATCCGATATTTTATAAAAGTAACAGGTACTAATCAAATATTATTTAAAAAAAAAAAAAAAGAAAGTGTAAGCTCTTCATTTTATAGACTGAGAAAGCAGAAGCGTAGAGAGATTCAGTCACTTGCCTGAGACCACAGGTCTGGATGCAGAGGAGAGCGGGGGTCTGAGCCCTGCGGGCAGCTCCAGGGACAGGATCCTGCCTCAGCCTCCCAATGCTCATTTCCCCTTTTCTCCCCTCGATGCCTGAGCAGACCCAACACATACACTTGAAATAACAGGCTCCCTTGGTGGCCTCCTTCCTGGGCTCCCTTCCTCCTCATCCCCAACCTTGGCACTGACCGCAACCCCCCTAAAAGGTTTGTTCTCCTCGAGGACAGCAAGCCATCAGCACACACCTTCTCTGGATTTGTTTTATCTGGTTTGCATTTGGAGGCCAGATCACACTGTACAGTCTAGACTGAAGACTCTATGTAGCCCAAACTGGCCTTGAACGCACACTGAGGCTCCTGCCTCAGCCTCTCAAGTGCTGGGATTACCAGTGAGTGCCACCACATCCAGCCCCACCATTGGCGGATTTAATTACAGGAGGTTTAAATACTGGCATTGATCCTCTTATATATAAAAATTTCTTGGAAAATTTAGAGTGGGAACCTTCTTTTCTAAGCTAAAGCACTGAGTTGAAATTTATGATCATAAAATTACGGCAGAGAGGGAGAAATAAAGAGATTTCAAAACCTACGCTAGGCAGGGATACATGGGAAATCTTTGTCCCCCCCCATTCAATTTGCTATGAATTTGAAACAATTTGAAAAGAAAAACCGTATCCAAGAAGTAAAGCATTATAAATAGTTATAAACTAATATTGCTGAACTTCACATAGGTTATTTGCTCAAAGATAAGAGATGTTTCCTAAAATCGAGGAACCTTAATAATTTTTTAATGACTAAGTCTTCATTACCAATCCCACTGCTTGAGACTACATTGGACCCAGTGAAAACACTTACCCCTTATAAGCCTACTCAGAACCAAATGCAATGTGGCTTCAATACAAGGAAGTTCAATACAAGGCTGCCTCACTCCTGTGTGACCAGTTAGAGTACTGCTTGGCTTTAAGAACCCTCTCCCAACCTCCCCCTGATTAGCTGCTAATCAGCTAAGGACTGAAGCAACCCCACTCACCCAGGCTCCGCATGTTTCCCTAGTTATAAAATGCAGGGAAGGGCACCCTTAAGTCATACTGCTGTTCCAATTTAATGACATGATACGTACCCAACACACCTGCTATATTTCCAGGAACACAACTATTTATTGACTCTGATTACACTGTGATTGAAGGTATTAGCCAAGATAATGCTACCTTTAGAGTGAAGTAGAAATATGGACACTTTTAATTTCTATTTCTCCATAATTTTCCTATTTCCTTCAATGCG